CCGCGTTGCTTAGCCATTGCCAAGTCGGCAAGGCGGGACGCAACTTCCACAGCCAGTTCTCCAGTCTGTTGGCGGTGACTACATGACATGGTCCATCTATGACTCTTCCCATTGGTTCGAAAAGGAGTTAAAAGACTCGCCGCCGCAGGGAACAAGCGAGCATTTGTTGAGGGTAAGCGGCATCGAGAGTCAAGACCTCCATAGTCCTGAGCAGGTTGTAGCATGTGGCGGGGTTCAACCATGTTCAACCGCTTGTGGTTCAGCGGGAAAGAAAAGACTCCCCATGTCCAAGCACTTCCAAGAGCGCCCCTGTGTTCGGCCAAGCCTTCCGTTGAAGGGCGAGTGTTGGGTTGGAGGAGTTGGTATCTAGCTGCGCGGCTTCCACTGGCCTGGATTTGGAGAAGCTGAAGAAATGTGGCCTGGCGTGTGGGACCCGTGCCTTCGACCGGTTGCTAATGTTTTGGGCAACCGCTGGTTCAATGCAGAGAAAGGAGGCTTGCCCTAGAAACGAATGCAATCCAAAACGTGGGCTATCAGGTGCTGGGTGCTGTCGATTCCCGAAAGGAGCAGAAACAAACCAAACTGACAAACGGGGGTGTCCAATGCCTCATTTGTCGAATACATCACTCGTTGCACAGAGGTGTCGTAAAGTCAGTGGCTCACCCCGCCTCTCGGGAATCGGACTCGGCACAGCCCTCCGTTTCAGGACATGCAACTTGCTGACTTGTCGAAGGCCAAACTAAGGGCCGGATTTCCTTTTTCCTTGATTTGTGCCACCCGCGGCATGGTCGGCCAATCCGAGCTGCAACTTTGAAAGCCAACCACGATACGGGATACCCCATTTGAGGCCCCAGCTGCGCCCGCAAGTTGCACAACACTCAGCTGATTTTGGACCAATTCCGGACCTATAGTTTCAACGCCTTGGGTTTTTGCGCCAATTTCATGAAAGCGGGTCTGCGAAATGCATCTCTGTGACTTCTGGGATGCCAGATGCGATGCCCAAGTGCCTCTCAGTTCTCAAGTGGTGAGTTGTCACATTGGTCGAGCGCACCCGGAAATGAATTGACAGCCACCGAGGTATGCAGGGTGTTTCTTGTGAATCTTTTCCGTGCAAGTGTGCTTCTTGTGCCAAGCTGTCTCGTTTTTCTGCACCCTTTGCCTTGGGCCCGAAAGAGTTATCAATATTGGAAGCCCCTTTTGGTTTTCGTGGAGAAAGCGGCAAGCATCGGAACCAGCCAATCTAGCACATTCCCAAGGCGTCTCAACTCCGCGTCTTTGTCCGGTGGCCCCTTTTAGGGCAGCCCCTCTGTTTAATGACTTGATCATGCGGACCATAGTACAATAGAGGGTCCGGATTCCGAAGTGGAACGGCGTTTCAACCCGGACTTCACTGGCCAAGAGGGTAAACTCAACCTGGGAGTGTCAAGCAGCTCCGTCGTTGTGAAGTCCCAGCGGCCGTGTTGCGAGTTCCCCAGGCTCCGGGAGCAGTGCAGGGGATGACGCAGTGGTGGCACAAGCGAAGGCTACCCCGGACCATCCAGGCCTGGTGATCCGTTTCGGGTGGAGATTACTGTGTGTGTGTGTGTTTGTGGTTGTGGTTGTGTTTGTGTTTGTGTTTGTGTTTGTGGTTGTGTTTGTGCTTGTGTTTGTGTTTGTGTTTGTGTTTGTGTTTGTGCTTGTGCTTGTGCTTGTGTTTGTGCTTGTGCTTGTGCTTGTGCTTGTGTTTGTGTGTTTGTGTGTTTGCGTGTTTTTCTGTGTTGTGTGCTCGATGTGGTGTGTGGTGTGTGTTCTTTTTTCGGAGGGTGTTTGTGCGTGTGCCTGCGCGCGTGTGTGATATTGATTCATGGAGAAGTCCTTGAGAAACAAGTCCACGAGCTGACTGTCTTTTTGAGGGTACCCTTTTTGGGGTTGGTTTAAGGGGATACCAAAAGGAGAGCCGTCATTTTCGCGTTCCCTATTTTTCACACTCCAGGTTTGTTTGTGTTGCTCGGAGCAACTTGAAGGATGTTGCTTGGTGTCAATCACGCAGGAGCATCCTCCAAGCAAGAAGGCTTTCGACTTACCTTGGCTCCTGAAATTTGGATTCCCCCAAGCAAACGATGGGGGCCAACTACGGACCCATTTAGCACCACCCCAATCCTAAATCAGCCAGGCAGGTTAAGCTCCCCTTGTTTAGATGCACTGCTTTCCTGCCTGCAAATGGTATCGAGAGATTGTTGAGAAAGCCCCTTTATTTGCGCTTCACCCATTTTGAGACCCTGTATCCAAGTCAGCCAACGTTTCGGACATCGAAGCGGCTTTTCCTACCAAAAAGAGAACTCTCATAAGCCGCAAAGGGGCGAACAAAGTGTCCCACAGCCATGCATTTCTTTTTAAGGAAGCAGAAAAGAAGCTGCATGACTGGGTGCTGCACTCGCAAGGCGTGCCCTACATGATGGTGAACGGGAAGCCGCTTGAGCAGCCCAATGACCTCCTCAAGACAGCGCCCTCGCTCCATTGGGCGAACCCCAAAACCGTCGAGAACCCTGGCGCCCAAAACGAGACACACCCAACTCTCGAGGCCTTCAGGCCTTCTCCGGCTTGGGCTGGAAGGCAAAGGGTAGCTTCCAGAGCTTCCCGAGTTGTAGCGTTTGGCAAGAGAAGATTGGCGACCAACGCCCGCAAACTCACATGAGGTTCGGTCGAAATCGGAGGGACACTTTTGCGGAACTCGTTAGTCTCTACAGACAACTAGATGTCCCATTCCTGTTTTTGATCGTGTCACCCAAAATGGATATTCCTCTACACGTCCAAACAGCCAGCCATTTTATAAGGGCCGTCCCTTGTGACGTTCACCAGGGCTTACCCGTGGCGTTTCTTTGGGGTCTACCCAGAAGGCTTTAGGTTGGACTGCCAATGAGGTCCTCTTGCATGCTATCGGATTGTATTCTCGATTCACTTTGTTGGACAAACATGATTCTCCTAAGCTGCAAACACTTGAGATATGTTTTGAGCAGTTGATCGGTTTGTATTCTCTATTAACCTTGTTGGACAACTATGATTATCCTAAGCTGCAAACAGTTGAGATATGTCTTCAGCAGTTGATAGCCACTTGGCTTTGGTTGCTGGATCCTTCAGCAAAACCCTGCGTGAGTGAAGTGCTTTCCCTTGCCTTGCACTTGTTTCTCCCATCGGAAACGAGGGACCTCCAAAACGAAGAAGCCCGCATTTAGGGAGTTTCTTTATCTTCCTCCGAAGATTTTCAGCCATCCTGGCTGTAAGGTGACAATCTCCATGCTAGACCGGCGTTGTAGTTTTCTTTGTTTCTTGCCGATCGAGCGTGAGAGAAGAAGGAGCGGCGGATTTGCTCATTTGGCTGTGGGTCAAAACCAATGGTACCATTTTGGGGTAGGTGCACCACCCATTTTAGTCCATTTTTGTGGGATTGGGATGTTCACCGGGGGTACCGGATTTTGACCCAGGCCATTTCAGAAAATTCAAGAACCCCGATCCGAGACTCGACGCAGGTGTGCAAGGCCTACACGGGCACCGCGCCCGAGGCCTGCAAAGAATCTGAGCCGAAGGCGAAGGTGTCCTTTGTCTACGTTTGATTCGTTCTCGGCAGGTAGGATTTCCAACAAAGCACCCCGGCCTTGAAAGGAGCCGCGCAGAAAATATGGGAGAACATGCTAGATGGTGTTCTTGTTTTCACACGTTGCCCCAGTGTGATGGAGCGTATTGCATTTGACCAGATGCAGACGCCAGTGTGCGGCATGCATTCGCGGCAGAGCTGGTTGGACTTTGCGCGAGTGAAGCAGTGTGCCATGTGCTTCCTCGAGTCGCGGGGAAAAGCCGTCGGGACTGCGGGCCGGGGGATGGAGTGGCCTAGTTTGGGGGGGGGGAGGGGGTGAGGGGTGCGGGGGGTGCAAGCCAGGGATGCTTGAGAGGGAAAAAAGGGATCCCAAACACCAAGTTGTGAGGCACACTTCTGGTTAGGTGACCATGGATATCCTCCCGAGTTTGGGAGCCCGATTAAAAGGGGCTCCATGCTGATTTCGCGAGACGGCTTTTTTCTGTGGAGCCGGGCAGAGGAACCGGCGTTTTCTTGGGTTGGCCTCGGTTGGGTTGGGTGGCTGGTGGATTGGTTTGTTGGTTGGTTGGCTGCATCCCCAGAATCAGGCCTCGCTCGGACCTAGGGCTGCCAGTGGCTTTGGTTCAATGGCAGGGAGAGTTGCTGGGAAGGCCTGATATGCAGGATGTTTGGGTGGACTTTGGGCCGGGTTGGCTTGGGGCTGATTTGTGCTAGGTGCGGGGGTAGTTTTTGCAGTGGCTTCAAGGTTGGTTTAGGGCGAGGGTATGTGAGCAGGGGGCTGGTTTGGTTGTTGCCCAACACCACCAAAACTAATCCTAACCTCACTCAACCACATCCCTAACCCGAAAACCCGAAACCTGCCGACCTCAAGTTAAAGTTAAACCAACTCTCAACTGTCACCAGAGCCACTAGGCAGCCCATCTGAGTGAGATGATGCTTGGGATGCGCCCAACCAACCCCGCCCCTCTATGCCAAAAAAACCGGGCTTGTGTTGAACCGGGCTAGGGCAAAGCGGGGAAAAAACAACAACACGGGGCTAGTTGAAAGCAGAAACGCAGCACACCTCTACCGGTTAGTCGAACTGGACGATCATGCGCTGCTGCCTCTCAAAACCCTCCAATGGAACCACTCCGAAGCTTTGTGCCAGCTAATGCTGACCCAGGATAAATAAACCCGTCCCATTACTACGGGGGTGTTCCAAATCTCCAAAAGTGGTCTGAATCCAACCACTAAAAGGAATTGGACCCCCCCCCGATCAAAATCACCCAGGGGTTCTACTTAGATCCGGGGTTCACGTTGGTTTGGTTTGGGTGCCCCACCTGGATTTCAGGAACGGAAGTGTCAACCCCTGGATTGGCAGGTGTGGGTTACCAAATTCTGTGAAGCGACGGCCGGAGCCTCATACCCAGCCTGCCCGCCTGCGTGCCAGGGCCGTGAGGAGGGCGCCGAGCTGCGGGCGGTGTGCGAGGCATGGCACCAGATTCTGCATGGCTGAGGTTCGCTGAATATGGCGCCAGAATCAAAAGCATGTTTTTTTTTTGGGGGGTCATATATTTTCTACGCTTCTGCAGATTGCCATTTGTGGGATTCTGCTTGGAGGACCAGTCTGTCCTTCATCTTCTTTGGGGCGGCTCGCAATGGTTGTTGATTGTTTGAACCTGTGGCCGTTGCGGTCCAACAGCTTCCCAACAACGCAGGCTTCTTGCTCGAAGAATGCCGGTGATGCTGGGTGCTGCTGAGGCTTATAGTTGATGGCCCCCTTGCCCCCATTACTATCCGCGCATCCCCGCCAATTCGGGCCGATCAGAAACTCACAGTCATACTCGGCCAACCTTCAACCCTAAACCAAGAATTTCCATTTTGTCGTTGTTCACTAAGGGGGGGAGGATATGTTGGGCAGAGCACGAGAGTGGGAAAGTGTAGAACAGAAAGGTCAGGGATGCGTCTGTGCATTTGTTCCGCCTGTTTTGCATGTCTTTTCAGGTGCTCTCCGGAAATCAGCATGGACCCTGTAAGAGGCTTGAGCAATCTTTTCTTTTGGCGGGTGGGTTGGGGGGTTCATTGGGCAGAGACCTTTCGGCGTCCGGTAGGCCTTTCTGCGAGTTGAGGGCAGTGCAGCCGTCGCCGCTCGCAGTGCCAGGAGAGCGCGAGTCCAGGGCAACCCGTTGGGAGGTTTCCAGGTTTTTCGATAGCTTCCAAAAGTAACATGGTGGTCTCTCCGTCTCCCCTGTTTAAATGCTTTTGGGAACAGGGGCGCTTGAACGAAACACCAACAAAACCCAACAAATCAGGGTCAATATCCAAGCTTTCTCGCCAGGCGGGCTTGCCCGAGCGGAAACCCTGAACCGTGTCAGCCCCTCAAGTCTTCTGTGCTCCGGTCTCTTGGCGTCCTAAAGCCAGACCCGTCCAAATGCCTGGTGTCTTGCCGATGCATGTACCAAACAGGCTAAGTTTGAAGCATCTCTATGGGCAGCTTGGAGCAAACATCCATGCTGGCAGGCTGGCTCTCCATAAAATCGATACGAGGTCGACTGGGTGGAAAGCGGAGCCCAAGTGCAGGCGCGTTTCTTGCAACCCAACGGGACCCAACCCACGGCTTCTGTGCGCTTCTTGCGCGCTTGGGGTGATCTCGCAGGAGCCGAGGGCTTGAAGGCGCGGGAAGGGTTGGCTTGGGCGGTGTGGTTGGTCTAGGTTTGGCTTAAGGTCTGCCCTCAGCATATTGCTGTTCGAGGTGTCGGGCCGGGAAAGCCGCCTTTCGACAATCAGCCAGGGATGAATCAACTGGGCTCCCATCAGATCCGGATTCTGGAACTTTCCTGGGGGATGCACCCCAAACCTGAAGTTCCGATCCGCAAGCAAAGGGCCTTTATATCAGGAGATCGGCTAGAGCTGGCCATGTAGGCAGGTGGCTGTGGGCCAAAACCAATGGTACCATTTTGGGGTAGCTGCACCACCCATTTTAGGACCTATTTTAGTAGGGATGTTCACTGGGGGTACGGGCTTTTGACCCATGGCCAGATTGTTTTGACCAGCCTGCAAGCATGAACTGCTGCCAATAGGCGTGGTGATTGGTCTGAGAATTGTCAATTTATTAATGGCAATGTCTGTGAAAGTCTGCTTCGACTTTGGCTTAGTGTGTCGTAATCTAGTGGGTTCATTTAGTTCTTTCTAGACACACAGAAACTCTATCAACACCAAATGTGTTAAAGTTGTCGGTGCAACTCATGGAAAGGTTCATGACATGCCACCTGTCCACAAAATGAACGCAGATGAAGGAGTTGCAAATGAAAGAGCTAAGCGCAACGACGCGAGACAGTCCGAAGGAGGACATCATATCCGACGTCAACGATATTCTGCCAAAGAACTTGACCAATGACGGAAAGCAGATGCCGACTTTGTATATTGTTGTTGTATGTTTTTGAGATACCCTCTCTCCCACTAACATGGCACCTGAACGGGGGTCCCAAGAGGAACTTGATCTTTCAGGTACCCTCTCACAGGTGCCATGTTAGTTGGAGGGTACTTGAAAGACTGCAATATGTCTTACAATGTATTTGAGTGGCGCGAAGGCATGCCCGGTGGAGTCGAAGATAAGTTTAGAGCTCTGCAGTTGTCCCATGAGCGCTGTGAGATTTTCAGAGAAAACAGGACGGAAGAGTACTTGCGCAAATTCAGCTCACAAATGTTTGACACGTCTCGATGCGCATTTGGTATGCAGTCAGGTCAATTCAGGAGGCGAGACCACGCAAGGAAGGCAAGAATGGACAGCATGAACTGTAAGCAAACAGGATTGACACAACACACATCATGATGTTGGAGTGAGATCCTGAAAAGAAATCACTCGATATTTCCGGATCTCGCCCGATATCCCAACATTACCCACACCGAAAACAACTCAGAAAACAGCGGATATCCGCTGGCGTAAAAATGGCCTTTTCGGCAGGGAGTATAGTTTCATCCGACATTTATCGGCTCGGCGTGGCGCAGCTGAAGCAACTGCCGCGGCAGGCGGACGTAAGTGTGCTTGGAACAGGTCTTCTCTCTTTGGGGAGGGGTGGTGCTTGTGGATGGAGTGTTGGTGGTGGATAGGGTGGCGGTGGTGATGGTGGCGGTGGTGATGGTGGCGGTGGTGATGGTGGTGGTGGTGATGGATAGGATCCAATAGTGCCCAAACAGTTTTTACTTCAATCTGTTCCATTTGTAAATTGCATTTTTTTCCCTGGAAGTTTCTCTCCAAACCTACTTTTGAAGCGGTGTTAAATAGAAACACGTTTTGGTTTGATTTCGATGAGTGTATGCCGATATATTCTTATGTACTGTACTTTTACCTCCCGGCGGTGCTGAAACCATCCCCAGCACGGGATCAGCCTGCGTTCATTAAGATTGTGGGTTGATGGGCTCAACTCACTAGTGACTCCACGGCAACAGGACTAAGTTTATTGGTATTTTGGGTTGGGCGGCTCACTGGAGACCCAGAGAGCTTCCTTTTTGTTGGTGGTTTCTGGCCAAACAGTACCCGTTTTGTGACGGCTTCGGTGCCGTTAGCATGTGTATATATATATATATATCTATATACATGTATATGTTGAGCCTTCCAAGGCTACGAACATTCAAATCAATATACTTGCATATATATATATATATGTATACATACACACATGTATATACATATATGTACATATGTTTTTTCACATTTAAGATATCCAGATGTCCAGATGTTAGGATGTCATATTGGGACCGCCAAGTGTTCGGTGCCTTCGTCAGGGCCCTTGGAGGAGTTTGAGGACGGATGTGGAAGAAATTTTCAGCCGTGGGCGGGTGGGGGGTGGGGCCCGGAACAGGAGCGCCCGTGTCAGGATGGGGGGGGGTGGGGGGCAAAATCTGCACCCCAGTCAAAAAAAGGGTGTCCGAAAGATCCTTGTGCCAGAAGGTATGGTTGATTAGGGATCCCCCGATTTTGAACGCAGATCCACTTGAATGGTTCCTTGAGCCTTTGACGATTTCCTTCTTTTGTTGGTTGTCCTTAAAAACCGTCGCAAAGGACGTTCGTAGTTCTGTGAACCGTTGGTGATTGCTGAGCCCCTCAGGGCCTTGCCCCAAATGACGTGGCTTTTGTTCCTGCGATCTCTATGCTTGAAATTGAAAAGACATGGAGACCACAGAGTTCTGGTTTTTCTGACTTTGAGGACAGCGTGGCTACATATGTAGGCTCATAGCAACTGCAACCAATTTTCTGGGGGAGGGGGGGGGCCTCATGTTTGGCCATTTGGTGCGAGCCAGACGTGACTCGGAGTTTTCAGGGACTCAGTCGAAAGCATTCCCCGCTGCACGTCACAGTGGATCCGGCGCCTTGGCAGGACTCCGAGGATGAGGTGGGCTCGACAGATTCACTTCGCGGGTTGAGACATCTAAGGAAGTTCGGTGCGGATTAGCAGAGCTTTCCGGTTTGTGGAGAATCATTTGACCTCTAAACTCTAAACATGTAACTGTTGGACCCTCAAACAGGACCACTAAAGGTATAGTTTGGGAAGGAACCAATATGAAGCCAAGCATTGGTTTTGACACGCTGCGAGGTTTGGTGAGATTATGCGATAAAGGGACCTCTCTGGTTTCCTTTCGATCGGTAGCGCTATCAATGCCGGCCTTCGGTTCGTGGGGCAAATGCATTTCCCCTGCTGGAAGATTGAGTGAGTCCCATGACCCGAACCCCAAAGGAACCATTGGATAATTTGAGCGAGCCTCATGTGAGCAACGGCATTTGGCATTCACTGCTCTGCAAGTGATAGCACAAATTCGGTAGACAATGAGAAGATACCAGGCTTGATTTGGGGGTGCTTCAAAATGAGGGATCCCCAGAATGGCCGATTTCCGTCTGCTTTCCTTTAACACCAATCCAAAAAAGGGTTACTCCCGAAAAACCCACTCGTTCTTCCTCTTGTTGTTCGCGCCTGCCGCGCTCAGCCAGCTGTGGCTGAGAAGGTGCGGCGCGGCAGTTCCAGCGCGTCCACCTGCTCGGAGCGGGAGACGGGTGGTCTTCGCTCGGCTTTCCTTGTAAAGGTGGACTGAATGTGATGGACATAGGTGGCCTTTTGGGGCAAATAGATGGCCCTGGTAGATGATTAAATCACCAGGTAAACCAGGAATCGCCATCTATTTTTCGACCAAAACAACCAAAACGGACACCTATGGTGATAAATGGTTTGCGCCAAGGTGGAGGGAGCCCAACAAAAATAGGTGGCTTCCCTTTGCACAAGCGCTCAGAAAGGGTATCCTCATCAACAACACACACACACACAAACTCAAGCACAAACAGAAACGCACATGCAAACACCAGTGCAAATGCACACGCAAACGCAAGCAAGCGCAAACGCAACACAAAACCAAGACAAAACACAAGCACACACCCAACCGAACGCAAGCGCAAGGGCAAGCACGAACACAGGCGCACACACATAGACACACACACACACACTTTCTGCACAGGTTGCATGGTTTGGCGGCTGAGGCTATGACGGGGTTGGAGGTTTGATGATTGGATCGTTTTCCGGCGAAAGGCCTTGGATGAACGGCGAATTTCAATTGCCCAGCGGCTTGTGGATTGAATCCACGGGCGAATCATCCATTGTTGGAATATTGCTTCATGTGATGTTCCAGATTCTGAAGTTGACATTAGGACACGACAGCAGATGTTGTTTGTGTTGCATAGCCCTGCAAAAACTTTGGCAACATGTCGGGCTTTCGGAGACGTGTAACATCCCTCTCGGATGCCGGACCTGGCCCAGAGCTGGCAAAAGGACAACCCTGGCAGATCTCAGGCTTGCTTTGACTGCTATTTGATTTAGGATCAGGGCCTTACCTGCGTTATGGTGTGACTCTTTTGATGCGCACATTTCAAGCTACAAGAGGAAGCACACCGTTCGGATGAGTGCGAGATTTCAAGCGGAGTTGCAGTTTTTCGGCAACAACAGAATGGTCAGGCTCGAGGAGGGAAAGGCACGAGCGTGCCTCACCTAACCTTTTCGCAGCCTGAAAGAAAGTTCTTGATACCTGGAAGGCCATTTTGATAGGAATTATTTTTTTTCAAGGTCAATTTGGTTGAACAGTGGTTTTCTGGTTTCAGTTTAGGTCTAATCGTTGGAAAACACACCTTCAAGTGGCTGCTGAGAATCAATCCCACAGTTTTTCTGATGGGGTGGTGGAAGCAGGGTTGTTCCGAAGATGATTCCAAATCAAGACAGTTGGGTGTCCTTTGGGTTTCCCTTTGAACGCCTGTCTTTGGAGCCACCGGATTGGACCTTGCTAGCCGGACACCTGGTAGGATCGCGAGCAAAACGACAAGCTGAGCGGCAGGCAGGCGGGGGAAGGAGCGGAAGGCCGTGTGGACCTGGCGACTTGTGCCGGGCCAAGTTGGTTTCGATTTTTGGGGTACAGCCGCGGGCGGTGGTCCAATTCCCACAATGCTTGCTTTGTTGTCCACCCGCTTTTTGAGTATGCAACAAAAAAACAGACTCCCCTCCCAAAAAACGGCGGTTGTTCCTCGGGGTTCCCCGTGAAACCGAGGTGCAAACTCCCCCCCCCCCCCAAACCGCAGCCCGGACCAGCCCGGGCCAGGCTGGAGCGCCTGGGCTCGCGGCTCATGCGCTTCGCGGAGCAGGTGGCCCGCAGCTGCGCGGAGCAGGTAGCCCGCCAGGCCGATGGATCGACGGGCGAATTCCTTCCATTTGCTTAAGAGCATTTTTCTTATTTTCCCATGTTGGTTTTAGAAGACATTTATCACATATATATATATATATATACACATGTATATATATATATATATATATTTTCCAGGGGTCTTAACCAAATGGAAGATTTGGGTTGGGGGGAGGGGTCGGAGTCTACTTGTCACAGCCAGCGCATCGAAGGGAGGCAGATGAGATGGAGTCGCAGCCGCCTAAGGCGATCAAGGCAGCCACAAGGACATGAATGGAAGTTGGGATTGGGACGGGTCACTTGGGCGAGTCATTCTCGGGGGCTGTGGTTGGAATGCTTGTGGAAGGTTGGGGGAGAAGGGGGGGAAGGGCTATGAAACCCCGAGTGATCCCACAACCCTGTTCTTGTGTCCCCCTGTTCGCTTAACCCAACACCGCGCTGGTTGTATAGACCTTAGGTTCCTTCCCTTTCCAAAAAGAATGCATATGCGTATGTGTCCACATAAAGCATTAACACCCCACTAAAAGCGGGGCGCGGTGCTCCTTCCAGTCTTTTGGTCGCCCTGGAAACCAAACCTGAAAATGGTGCCCTCGCCCCCCCAAAAAAAGCACACGAAAAAAGAAAAAGAAACCAACCGACAAAAACAGGAAAGGAGAAGCACCAAACGCCGGCAAACAAAAAGAGAACCCAACAAAGCCAAGGGTTTTTGGCCGTGTTTGGTTTTCTGGATGAGTTGGTTTTTTGGCCGACAAAAGCACCAAACTTCTTTTTTATGGCGGATTTCAAAGACCTGGCCAAGCGGTTTTGGGCTTCCCTCCCAACAAAGACGACAAAGGCGCCGCGGCCGTGGCCTTTCAGTTTTTCTCGTAACGCGGAGGTGGCGTCCAGCGCCACGACGCGGCTGGAGGAGCTCAAGGAGGAGCTGCTGCGAGAGGCGGAGCTCGAGTTTGGAGTTTGGAGACGGTTTTGGGGTCCGGAAAGGGGGCGGGGGGTGGTGTTAGGTGGGCGTTTTCGGTGGGTTTTCGGTGGGTTTTCGGTGGGTGCACATGGGTTTTGTGTTGGTTTTAATTATTTGGTTTTATGTGCGGTTTTAGGTGGGTTTTAGGTGTGCTTTGAGGTGGGTTTTGTTATCTTTTTGAGGGAGAGGTGCCAAAAGGACTCGCGAAAAGATCTCGTTGGGACCCCCGTGTTTGGAAAGACTGTTGATATGAAGGGTTTTGACATGACGGTTGTGGGGAAATAGGTGGAATAATTCTGATGCCACAGCTGCTCTTGCGTTTTTTTTTTTTTTTTTTTTCCTTTTTTTTTTTCTTCTTTTTTTCTTCTTCTTTTTTTCTTTTCTTTTTGTTTTCTTTTTTTTTCCGGAAACGTCAAAGTGACATAAACAATTGTCAGAGGGATAGACAAATGTGTTGGATGCACACTTTTCCAATTGGCATTGCGAGTCATAGTCAAAGCCTGGAAGTGACGCGGTCTACCCAAAGCCATACAAAGAATCAAAAGGGCGGCCACAGCCATTTATAGTCAGAACTGTCCGCTACTAACCTTCGCTTCACCCCTGGTTTTGATGGCTTATGTGGCGCCCGCTTTCATTTTTGGCAGCGGCAAGACGACCATTCCTCGTGTGCTTGATATCACACGCGCAGCGCTGTAAAGGTATTTTTTGTTTTTCTTCGCTGTACAGCCCCATGAAACCAGGTGGTAGAACCACTGTTGGCCCAGCGCCGTCCTTTGAGGCACAGGTGGGACGTCTCCCGTGTCCGTTGCACAGGTTTCTGGGGGTTGCTCTCTTGCCTCACGGGAGGCAACTTTTCCCTCCATGAACATAGCACCGACCCCGGTCCCTTTTCGATGGTAAACGACCCCCTCCTTGGTCCAATGGGAGGGTGCTCTGAAGGAGCCAACGTCATCAACTGGTGGATTTCAGGAGAGCCCTGTCTTTGCGTGGTTCGGTGGTTTGGATCGGATGGCAGGTTGAAGCCAAAGGAATTTCACCACCCCCCCCACCTGACCACCTCCAAAACGCCAGCCATTCGTTTTCCTCCCAAAAAAAACAACCGAACCACTCAGAGGCATAGGTGTCCTTTTTGGTGGTTTCGGCAGAAAAAAAGTCGATGGGTTTCGATTCCTGGTTTACCTGGTGGCTTCATCATCTACCAGGGAAACCCATCTATTTGCCCTAAAAGGCCACCTATGTCCATCACCCCCCCAACCTGACCTCCAAAACGCCAGCCATTCGTTTTCCTCCCAAAAAAAACAACCGAACCACTCAGAGGCATAGGTGTCCTTTTTGGTGGTTTCGGCAGAAAAAAAGTCGATGGGTTTCGATTCCTGGTTTACCTGGTGGCTTCATCATCTACCAGGGAAACCCATCTATTTGCCCTAAAAGGCCACCTATGTCCATCACCCCCCCCACCTGACCACCTCCAAAACGCCAGCCATTCGTTTTCCTCCCAAAAAAAACAACCGAACCACTCAGAGGCATAGGTGTCCTTTTTGGTGGTTTCGGCAGAAAAAAAGTCGATGGGTTTCGATTCCTGGTTTACCTGGTGGCTTCATCATCTACCAGGGAAACCCATCTATTTGCCCTAAAAGGCCACCTATGTCCATCACCCCCCCAACCTGACCTCCAAAACGCCAGCCATTCGTTTTCCTCCCAAAAAAAACAACCGAACCACTCAGAGGCATAGGTGTCCTTTTTGGTGGTTTCGGCAGAAAAAAAGTCGATGGGTTTCGATTCCTGGTTTACCTGGTGGCTTCATCATCTACCAGGGAAACCCATCTATTTGCCCTAAAAGGCCACCTATGTCCATCACCCCCCCAACCTGACCACCTCCAAAACGCCAGCCATTCGTTTTCCTCCCAAAAAAAACAACCGAACCACTCAGAGGCATAGGTGTCCTTTTTGGTGGTTTCGGCAGAAAAAAAGTCGATGGGTTTCGATTCCTGGTTTACCTGGTGGCTTCATCATCTACCAGGGAAACCCATCTATTTGCCCTAAAAGGCCACCTATGTCCATCACCCCCCCAACCTGACCTCCAAAACGCCAGCCATTCGTTTTCCTCCCAAAAAAAACAACCGAACCACTCAGAGGCATAGGTGTCCTTTTTGGTGGTTTCGGCAGAAAAAAAGTCGATGGGTTTCGATTCCTGGTTTACCTGGTGGCTTCATCATCTACCAGGGAAACCCATCTATTTGCCCTAAAAGGCCACCTATGTCCATCACCCCCCCCACCTGACCACCTCCAAAACGCCAGCCATTCGTTTTCCTCCCAAAAAAAACAACCGAACCACTCAGAGGCATAGGTGTCCTTTTTGGTGGTTTCGGCAGAAAAAAAGTCGATGGGTTTCGATTCCTGGTTTACCTGGTGGCTTCATCATCTACCAGGGAAACCCAACATTTGCCCTAAAAGGCCACCTATGTCCATCACCCCCCCAACCTGACCTCCAACCGCCAGCCATCCCTTTCCTCCCCAAAAACGTCCGAACCACTCAGAGGCATAGGTGTCCTTTTTGGTGGTTTCGGCAGAAAAAATCGATGGGTTTCGATTCCTGGTTTACCTGGTGGCTTCATCATCTACCAGGGAAACCCATCTATTTGCCCTAAAAGGCCACCTATGTCCATCACCCCCCCAACCTGACCTCCAAAACGCCAGCCATCCGCTTTCCTCCCCAAAAACGTCCGAACCACTCAGAGGCATAGGTGTCCTTTTTGGTGGTTTCGGCAGAAAAATCGATGGGTTTCGATTCCTGGTTTACCTGGTGGCTTCATCATCTACCAGGGAAACCCATCTATTTGCCCTAAAAGGCCACCTATGTCCATCACCCCCCCAACCTGACCACCTCCAAAACGCCAGCCATCCGCTTTCCTCCCAAAAAAAACAACCGAACCACTCAGAGGCATAGGTGTCCTTTTTGGTGGTTTCGGCAGAAAAAAAGTCGAAGGGTTTCGATTCCTGATGGCCCTGGTTTACTACCTGGTGGTTTATTCATTTCATCAGCTACCAGGGAAACGGCCATCTATTTGCCCTTAAAGGACACCTAATTCCATCACCCCCCCAACCTGACCACCTCCAAAACGCCAGCCATTCGTTTTCCTCCCAAAAAAAACAACCGAACCACTCAGAGGCATAGGTGTCCTTTTTTGTGGTTTCGGCAGAAAAAAAGTCGATGGGTTTCGATTCCTGGCGGAGCTCCAGGCGGAGGGCCGCGCCTCGGAGCTCGAGCAGCGCGCGGCCCACGAGGCCCAAAGTTGCCGCCTTCCGGAAGGGGAAAGGGGAAAGGTGCAACCCAAATGGTATATATGATATATATATATATATGACATATATATATATATACAGATATATCTATCTATCTATTGCAATTGTATGATGCGTACACAGGTGTTTGAAACACCCACTGTTGGACTTTTCAGCTTGAGTTGTCTTGAAAGGTGAGACCAGTGTTTTTACGGACATTTTGATTTGGAGGCGCTCGGACCGACAGCCCGCCTGTGCCAAATCAATAGCCTTGCCCCAGCGATGAAATGACCAGGTTTTCTTTGTAGCTGACAAAAACGAGGTATGTTGGAGTAGGATTGGCTTAAGCTCTGTGCCAACTTCGCCGAATGGGGTGTTTCCTCATGGGAGCTGCTTCAGGGACACACTCTTTTCTTGTGGTGTGAGCCAAGGGCTGGGGTCCGGCTTCGATTTTTGGACCGCGTTTGCGGGAAATCAAAGGCCGCCCTAAAATCGTAGACGTTATTTTGAAGTGGTGCAGAAGGCAGAGATTGAAGCCTAACGGTCGATGTTGGATGTGAATCTTTTTCTGATGGCCTCCAATACAATAGGTTTGGAGAGCACGTTTTTGGGCAACGTGGTTTGAAGAATGTGTGTCATATTCCAATTGCTCCTGGTGATTGCATCTACCATTTACAGTGGTCAGCAAGAGTTTGCCCATATTGATCTATTCATTTTTGTTTCGTAGTGCCATGGAAATGACACGCCCCTCTGCGAGTTCGCCTTCGGCCCCCCAGCTTTTGACGCCTTTGTAAGCCCACAAGCAGCATCCACTTTGGTGTGAAGGCCTGACCAAAAGGTAGGCGTGCCCGGGCACAGCAAACAAACAAAAGCAATGTTTCAGAAGAAAGATCCAGGTGCTCAGTGGTAGGAACCTACAAATTTTCACCGCGGTGAGCCGCCAGCTCTGTTTACTGACTCAGTTCCGGACAGCAAACTGGCGCAGAGCACGATGATTCCCACCTCACAAAGAGGTCCAAGTTGGGACCAGTCTCTAAAAGGCAGAAGCCATCGGTTTCATGTTGTACCCTGAACATGGGCAACCCCATCGGCTTTCCCTTTGTTGCATTTTGCTTGGCTGTTAGGACTTTAACTTTTTTGCCAACTAGCGGGTTTTCCATCAAACCGCTAAAAGTTAAACTTTTAGCAGGGGAGCAGAAAGCAACCGAGTTCCGTTTGCCCGTTTGCCCATTGCTTTCTCACAGCATGGGCAAACTCATCTCCCGGAATTCGGCAAGGCCGATGCCGTGCGAAAGGCGGCTGAGGCTATGGAGGCGACGAAACGCGCTTGGGACCGCTGCGGGTTTTGTTTTGGGGTTGGTTTAAAGGGCAGCCACATGTTTGGGCCCCCGTATTTCGAGAACCCATTTATGTGGGTATGGAGCAGTGGTGGGCAAGCTTTTTTTGGTTGCTTGAACAGAAAGCAATGGGATACCACCCATTTGGAGAGCGGTTGAACTTGGGTTGGTCTTCTTAAGTTAAGGGGGGCGCTGTCTGACAAATCGACTTGGTGACATGAAATGAACAGCCATTGACAAAAACGGGCAAGGTGCCAATTGGTGCGGCCGAGCGAACGCTGCTCGGCCGCACCTTTAAACCTTTAACTTGAAGGAACAAATCTGTTTCGCCAGAAGACCAAAATGGCTTGAGCTCTCAGAGGGCTCAGTTCCCAGAAAATTCCCGACACATTCTCGTGGCGATCTCGGGCATCCGCCGTTCTTCCGGCCCACCGGTTTTTCATTCCCAGGCGGTATCACGGAGCGGCTTGGCAGTATTTGCATATGGGAAGCCACCCCCGAAGCTCTAAGCCACCCATCCAAACCAACAATTCGGGGGAAGCTGCGTAGTCCCAAGTAACTCTGGAGAGGAATGAGCCTTGGCTTGATCACAGGTTTGTACACGCGGTCGCAACGTGCTGATGGTCACATGATTTGGTATCAGCCAAGTTGCAAGCTGTGTCACATGGCAAGACAGGTGAGTTGCAGCTTCACACGCCAAGCAAAGTTTGCACTTAGGATGGCATGAACCATGTTTGATTTGGTTGAAACAAGCTCCATGTGTTTGCCAGCTAGCCTACCCCACTCCAACGACTGTTATGATGGGTTTGGTCAATGGTTTTGCATTTGACCTTTGCTTGCATATATGAGATGATCCGGCCTGATCTTGAAGAGTAGGTCCTCGCAATTCCAACCTACGCTCGCCTTCATTTCTACATACAGCATCCCGTTGTTTTTTGGTGATGTGTTAAGGGATCCCCAACAGGTGTGTGAGAATCTGACCGCCGGCTGGAGGCTTATAGCGCAGATGCACAAGCTGATGAGCCTAATCGGGGATGGGGTTGATCGCAAAATTGGAAACAACTCCCCACAAATTTGAGCGGTTTTCTTTGGTTTCTTTCAAATCGTCCAAACAGCGGTATCCTCAACAAACAGGCATGCTCAACTGGAACCTCCCCCCTCCTTCACTCGAGCGATCAGATGCAAGCAAGCCAATCGAGTTGACGAGTTGAGGAACAACTCCAGTTTAAAAACAGGTCCCAGGATTTGGACCGTTGCCAGGCTGGTCAAAATCAGAGTGGCTACATTTGAGACCTCGGTTTCTCCTTCTGATCAACGTGACTTTGCTTGACTCGGCCATCCTCCTACCAGATCAACACCAATTGGTATCTGAGGATTCTAAAGGACTTGCATCAGGTGGGAGCTGTGCAATTGGCTGTTGCAGCTCTCGGAACGCTTGACGCCGCGCGGCACATACCGACCATCAGCGACAGTTGGTTGGTCGATCGGAGCTGCTCTTTGAGCAAAGCCCCCCGCACCTTGCCTAAGTCATCGCCATCTCGCCATCACACTTTGGAAGACTGGGAAGTTCCAGAGAACATTTGGGTCCTCAGGCAGCTGAATGTTGCTTGAAGTCGCATGGACTGACGAGGAGGCGTTCCAGATGCCGCTTGCAGCCTGGAGGTACTTCGTGCGTTCTAAAGGGCTTGGGGCTGCGAGCTTCGCCACGAGATGAGCAAACGGGCTCCTGAGACGAACCTTTCTTGGAACAGGTCAAGCGTTTTCTTTGCGGGCCAACAAATTTGCGGGTCTCAGCACTTGACTTTTGCGCATTCTGTCGATCGCGAGGCTGCAGCCTTCAGCCGGTGCCAGCGCACTGGAGAGCTCTTGGACCAGTTCCGCCAGGAGGTGTCACAGGCGCGACTGATGGACGCGAGTTGAAGGGGCGGGGTTTTTGAATGAGGGATGCAGTGGATCCAGACCGATACTACCTTTGGGTAGAAGATTGGAAGGGATTTGCATTGTTCGCATTTTCCAAGACTTTGGGCAACCCTAAGCTGCCCAACATGAGCTTCGGCGCCTTACCAGTGTGTCTTCTGCGGAGGGAATCCGAAGATGTTCCCATTTTTTTTTTTTGTGGGGTAAGCATCTATGCTGGCTGTTAACCCGAGTCACCAGTGCTTGCCAGGGTGCTGAGTTCTGAGCCGCTGGCTGTCCGAGCCCTCCCTTCAAACGGAAAGTCAAAAGGAGTTGGTTGAATTTGCAGGTTTGAAGCCAAGGGCTAGTGTACCATGGTTCAACTGGTTGAACTGCCGTTTCCAGAAACGTGTACCTAAGGTTTAGCCAGAACTTGCAGGCTGTGAATGATTGACAGTGCATGAAACCTTTGATAGTGGAGTTGATAAAGTGGATAAAGGGGCAGGGTACTTAGTAAGTGGCTAGTAACCGTGGTTATAACCCACTTACCATGGTTATAAGTCTCCTAAGTGGGTTATAACCCTAGCTACTAACCACTTCCTAAGTACCCTGCCCCTTTAAGTGGATAAAGTACTAGTTGGATAAAGCACTTGGTTGAAACTTTTCAACTTTCCCCGGAGTCCAAGCACCTCCTTTTCCGCAGGAAGAGCAGTCGGCCCGGGAGTCCGTGCTGGAGCTCCGGAAGCAGGCAGACTCTGCCAGAGAGAGGGATTCGATGTGGAGCTGGTGCACAGGTCGGCTGAAAGGGAATCAAAAGGAAGCACACAATCTTTTGTTCTTATATATATATATTATATCTATATGTATCTCTGTTTGTTTTGTTTTTGTTTTTTGACACACACACACACACACACTGATTTGGGCTTACGTCTCTCCATCAGCAGCCCTTTTTGCACACCATCTGAGTCAGACGAGTCAGCCGGTGGGAACTTCGTGGCGGCCTTTTTGGGGAGAGCTGTTTCTGGTATCAAAGTCAGAAACTGGGTGGGGAGCGCTCACCACCGGCGGTGGACGGGGGGGGGGGGGGCGGAGCACAACAACGTGGGACTTGTCTATTCTTTTCTTGGGTTCGCGAGCCGATGGGTTTGGTTCCAAAAACGGGTTTTCTGTTCTCGCCCCAAGGTTGGGTCACTGGGCTTCTGGAGATCAGAGCCAAAACTGGTAAGGACCGGACCCATCCGGCAGCTTCCGGTAAGGACGGCTCTCGGAGTTCGCCTCAGGCCGAAGAAGCCGGGCCCCGCCTTGCTGGTCTGGAGGCGGCCCCTGAGGGCATGGGTTCCGAAGGTTTTTGTGCGCACGCCCCCCCCCCCCCCAAACCCCACGTCCAAACGGCGAGGGGAGAACAGGGGGCCGGAGTTTTTTTGTGAGTTGTGGGCTTCCTTGAGCTCCGCAAAACAGTTGGCATCTTTGGTACGGCCACATGTGAAACCTATGTGCTCACATGCAAAACCGGGCTGTTTGCATCATCTCTTGTCGGGGATGACACTTGGAATGAACACCACGGGTGGCTTCTTCTGCTCCTTTCAATGTCTGGCGCTGGGGAGTTTCTGCCGAATGGTGAAAGTTATTTTCCTGGCTTTCAGACAGCGATCGATCTTGTCTCTCAAGGTGCTCAACTGTGCGGTGGATTCACTGGTTGCAAGGAGGGAACAAGGCAGTTGTCAGAATTTCCCCCATGGTTTTGTGGACACCAGCGTGGTTGTGGAAGGGGAAGTGCAGCATGATGATACTCAACGAAGGAAGCCGTGTGAGCCATTTGCCAGCCCCTTATCACCCTCGATTTTCCGCCCACAAGGAATTTGTTTCATTAAAGAGGTGGAAGTTATGGGCCTGCCCTTACATCGGAAACCCGGACCCAGTGCCCCCGTTGGGGAAGCTTCAGTGCGGTTTCCCTTTGAAACATTCCCTCAGAAGACTACTACCTTGAGCGGATGCTTGTCTTCCTACGTCCCCTGCTTTCCATCCTCACGAGAGGCCCGACTCAGAGAGGAGCTCCAGTTGGCCGCAGGCGGGTTGCTTGGCCCTTCCCTTCCCCCTTTTTTGGGGAGCGGGCAAAGTGAAGGCTCCCCATCTGACTGGGACCCTCATTTGGTCGGGGAACTCGAATCCATTTGGGGCAGTTCTCTTCATTTCCCCCTTCCCGGGTGCCCCAAAAGGACCCCAGAACCCAAAGGCGCAAAACGGCCGGGCAGATGGGAAGTCTGTGAGGGGCTGAGGTGGTTTTTGTTTGCGCCGGGTGTTTGCCGGTGCAGCGCTGCAAACAAAAACCGTCAGAGCCCGCCAGAGGTTAAGGAAAGGGGACACCACCGGCGGCACACGCGACTTCCCTTCAAGCGTGAAAAGGCAGCGACATCGGAAGCTCCGCGGATCGGGAGCTGATCCGCCCAGTGAAGGCTTTCCCGCAATTGGAGGCCCGGGCCCTGTTGGGGTGCAGGCCAAACCAGTTGGTTGCAAGACAGATGCACCGGTGCGGGTCCGTGTCTTTGAGCCAATTGGTTGAAAAACTTGCCTCCAATAGTTAAATCTCGAGCCAGTCCTTGAGTGTTCCTCCCTGTCCCTTTGGACATCATTCATATGTTCAACTTCATTGAACCATGCAAAAGCTAAGCATTCTATTAGTTGGCCAACCTCCTCCAGGGTTTCCCATCACTCTCTTAAAAAAATATGTTTCCCGATGTGTTTCGGGAAAGGAAGCCTTCATCAACCAAGGACAGCTGAGATTGCCACGTGCAAAAGATCAGGGTGTCTAGCGGCGATCCCGTTGCGAGGCTCCCTCGCTTTGGCCCCGTCCAGCGTCAGCCCGGTCACCCGGGTCAGGCCGCGCCGACCACTTCGCGGAAAAGAGCGCGGAGAAGGCGGCGGAGAAGCTGGAGGTGGGGGGGTTGGGCGGTGGGCTTTCGTTTTCGGCAGAGGGGGGGGGAGTTTTTAGGGCGAAGATCTTGGGGTAACTTCCCCATGTCCAGAGAGCAATCTACCCCTAAAAAAAACACCCGGGTGTGTCTTCTAGGTGGGAACCCCCTTCAAGGTTTTTATTCTTTCTGGGTTGCTGAAACCAATGCGACCAGAAAAAAGAACCCTCAAAAAGATGCACAGGAACACACCCTGGAGAGAAAAGGTACGGGTTCCTTTAGAAACGCCCAAAAGTTTGGAGCAAACCTCAGGCATCGATCCGTCCCCAAACACCCAGATTTCAAGGAGCTGCAGCGGCGGCTCAACGCAGAGCTCCGCACGGTGCGGTGCCGAGAGAATGAGAAGGGGGGTTCACACCCGTGTGTGTGTGTGTGTGTTGTTTAATAGGAAGCACAATGAAGCCCCACCGTTTTGCCGGGTAAGTTCTTTCTTGGAAGCACAATGAAACCCCACCATTTTTTTTATTTTTACAATGATAATGAAGCCCCACCGTTTTCCGGGGTCCCCTAAAAAAAAAGAGACACCACCCCTAAAAGGCTTTCTCATGTTGACCGTGGATCTAAATGGAACCCGTCCAAAAAGGGGGAGAATCTTGTCCAAAGTGATGAACCCCACCAAAACTGGCACCCCCATCACCAGAGGTTTCTTAATCCGAGGTTCTCATTGGTAGGTGGCTCTACCCAGTTTTGCAAAAGGTTATAGTAAGGCCTATATTTTCCTTTGTAACCATCTTTGTGGAACCCAAAGTAGAAAATATATGGGCACTCAGGTGGAGCTTTGATTCATGACTCACTGAAAGAAACCCATTGTTTCTCGTTTCATCTTGAACAAACTTGTTGCGACTGAACTCAGCTGACATTTGTTGTTTCCCACCCTCGGGCGTTCCCTTTCAAGAGCGCAAAACTGACAGCAACGACTGGTGGCATCTACAGGTGGGGCATCAAACACTAGGTTAGAAGCGAAAGCAAAAGAAGACAACAGCGGCATGTGCTTAATCTAGCTGGCAACCCTGATATATATATATATATATATATATGGTACCCCCCCCCCCCATGGACCCTGGTTTGGTGCGGTTGACCTGTATTTTCCAGTGTTTTATGCTTCTTTTTGCTTCTTGGATTTGTGTCAAAATTGGGGGGAGGGTCATACATGGATATGATACGCATGCATGCATACAAATGTAATAAAAGCAATGACATCAGCACCTGCAATCTGAAAGAGTTTGAATACATCCAAGAATACAAGAACAACTCAGACATTTTTAAAACAAATTAAACATTCTGGGATTCAAGATTCAAGATTCACGAATATGAGAAAATATTTTCTGGGATTCTTGAATCTTGAATCTTGAATCCCAGAATTATTAACAGTTTTAAAAAAAATATGGATTCAAGATTCAAGATTCAAGAATCTGAGAACATATTTTCTGGGAATCTTGAATCTTGAATCTTGAATCCCATAATTGTTAAACAGTTTTAAAAATTCCAGGGTTGTCCCAATACTCTCGGTGTTCAATAAGATTCTCGGAACAGTTTTCCGCGAAATATTTCAATCCAGTGCTAACGGATGTTCGAGGTGATAGAACAGCTTGAACATTTTAGGGGTTGACCAGGATGGATGATTCTCAGGAAATGGGCTCCTCAATATTGAATCCCCGATCCAGTGGTAAAGCACTTTCAAGTGTTAGAAGAACTTGAATGCTATTTGGGTTTGGCCAGGATTGACAATTCTCCGGAAAGTTTTCTGTGTAATCTTCAATCTTGAATCTTCCATGTGATAGTAGCAAATTTTCAAGTGCTTAGCGATCCAGTGGACACACTTTCAAGTTATTGGTTAGACAAACTTTCAATTGCTTTTGGTGAGCTTCATGTCAGCTATGCTCATGTTGACCCCTTTCCAGGAGGTAAACAAAGGCAGGTGTAACGCTCAAAAATACTCTATTTTCCAGTATTTTATGAGAAGGCGCAGGATCATTGGGGGTACTATATATGTGTGTATGTATGTGTATATTTAGATATACATATGTATGTACGGTCACACACCGTCCCCATGCAACGGTTTAGCTAGAATCCCTGTTTCGAGATAGTTTTAGATTTTGAACCTCTCTTCCCTTGAAATTTCCCTTTGAGACACCGTCTAACAAGTTCAATGTCGGACCTTTCTTATGCTACAAAAGGGCCAGAATGTAAATAACACAAATCCTATTCTGAATTTCCAAATGTTTAGCCATATTTAATATGAATTATATTTGAGATGTAGTCTCTATTCACTTGATATTATCAGAAGCAAATTGAGTTGTGTTCGTCTTAGATTATATTTACCACTTGGATTATATTTGGGAAACAACTTCCATCTAACTTCTTGTGTTATAGATTAGTTGGAGTTTAGCCGAATATATATATATATATACATTTTCATGTAGCTGCTATTTGGAAAGGATTTGCTTGTTTAAGCTGTAATTGAACATAAACATTTTTGAAAACTATATCCATACTAAACTATATTCAAAATTCCAATTCTAGTTGAAGTAACATCTTATTTGGAAAGGGTATCATACTGGGACATTGTGGAGGACTCCGGGCTCCAAATTACGCTTTGGGGACCCACAATTGGACATTTCGAGAATATAAATTTAGAAATTCTAAATTTGCCATCCCCAAAAGGCAGTAAAACCAGGGTCCATGGGGGGGGGGGTTGCGTATATATATATATATATATATATGTACGTTTGCCTGTGGCAAAAGGGAGGTACGCTTCCAAACCATGTTGGAGGGTGAGAACCGCCTGGTTGAGTTTCATGGATGTTTCCCAAGGATTCCTATCCCCTGCGAAGTAGGTATCACATCTCCATCAAGTTAATTTTTGCTGTGCATGGACAGAATCAACAAAGCGCACCAGTGGGGATGAAGCCGGATTTCAATACTGGGGTTAAACCACTTACCAACTTGTGCAGGGCTTTGTTCATCAGTAGCTTCCCTCTGGCGGTAAATCCTTCCTGAACAGACGGGCCAAGTAGAGCTCGCGGGCCACCAACATCTCGACGCTTTCGCTTCGGTCTCCAATTTGAAGCACCTTTCTGGGTTTGTCCCTAAAAGAACACTGTGAATATATTTGGGTTTTTCATTGGTTTCCATTGGCATTTTGGTTCCCTTTAAACCAACCAACAAAGGGCACCCTCAGCACAGAGAAACATATGTCGGATAGACCTAAGACAACCAACATGGCACCTGTGGGGTATCGGGAAGACCAGCTTCCACTTCCAGTGCTATGGGAAGGACGCGATCTTGCTCGTTCGATGGTGAAGCAAACGCAGGACCTTATATATATATATATATATAGATAGATATCCCCCGAAGGGCGCACTTCCAGGCGCCGTTTCGCGCAGGCCAAACGCAAATCTCGATTTTTTGACCTTCAGCAAAGCTCCTCTTTAAGCAGCCCAAGCACCCTGTAGCAGAGGGTTCCCTTGGGCGTGTTTACTACCATGGTAGTGATGTGGGATTCATCAAACAGAGGGTTTCCTTGGACGTGTTTACTACCATTTTGTGATGTGGGGTCCATCAAGCAGAGGGTTCCGTTGGGCGTGTGTACTACCGTGTTGTGATGTGGGACTCATCAAACAAAGAGTTCCCTTGGACGTGTTTACTACCATGTTAGTGATGTGGGATTCATCAAACATTGGACGTGTTTACTATCATTTTGTGATGTGGGGTCCATCAAGCAGAGGGTTCCGTTGGGCGTGTGTACTACCGTGTTGTGACGTGGCATTCATCAAACAGAGGGCTCCCTTGAGACCATGTTGTGATGTGAGATTTATCCCACAGCGGGTTGGGTTTCCTTGGGCGTGTTTACTACCATGTTGTGACGTGGCAAACATCAAAGAGAGGGTTCCCTTGGGCGTGTTTACTACCATGTTGCGATGTAGGATTCATCAATCAGAGTTTTTCCCGTGGGCGCGCTTTATTTCCTCTTTGCAAATGCGGAGCCTCCTTTCTCTTCTGGCTGTGATCCTGACCAATGCAAACTCTGCTGCAAAAGCAACCGCCACGACCACAGGGGCAAATATTGCTACTGAAACCCTGGCCGAACCAACTTCCAAGCGTCAGCTGCCCTTGAGGCAGGACGCTGGCAATCCAGCGTCATCATATGAACCCATCAGAAATGAGAACATTCCAGAACTGGCCGATTTCATAGTACTCTACACACAATCAGCAAGAGTCCTGCAAAAGGCGGACGAAAACAACGCGTTGTTTTCGTCAAGAAGTCCACTTGGAGGTGCCTGCAATTGACTGGCAGGGTACATGCAAACAACTAAAGGTATAACATGGGGGTGCCAGCAAGTGCACCCGTGAGCATATATATATATACATATGTGGGAGCTATGTACAGTCTGTATATATATATATATATATGAATAATCATATGTATTTGAGAGGTCGCAGCTCCTATCATTCTCAGCGCCCTGTGCTACCAACCCCGAACGGCCCTAACGAATCGAGCACTTTCAGAGTATAGCTGAGTTTTGCAAGTTTTGGGGCAGGGCGGCAGAGCAAACGTTGATTCGCCAAGGTTCTTGAAAGATAGTGGAGTTTACTGTAAATTTCAACCACAAAACGCGCCACCAGCGAGCTCTAACGTGACGATTGAACTCCATAGGGGGAAAGTCGTCACCTAGTGCAGACGCCCAAACACCACAAGCAGCTGAGACGAAACACATGTTGTTTTTTTCGCATCCCCAGCATCACCACCAGGGAATGAAGGGACTTTTGAATACTATGTGCAATAACGTCAAGATGATGATGATGATGATGATGATGATGATGATGATGATGATGATGATGATGATGATGATGATGATGATGATGATGCTTTGCCGCGAGTGATGAAGCACCCTTCCCGCGCGCCTCCCTTTCTCCAAAACGGGGTCCATGCTGTTGTCTCTGCTATTTCTCCAAAGGGGCTGCCTGGATGAATCATAATTGGCCATGCATATCAATGGGCGATACCCAGAACGAAAACGATTGGTGGATATGGACCCCAATGCAAATGATATCTACCAAAGGGCTAATCTCCCACTAAAAATCATACGCATCGGCGTATGTGCGTTATTTTAAGGATTCTGTTGTGAGGACATTTTAGAGAGAAGCCAAAAAACCCTCACGGCAAGTACGACTAGGTTGCAAAAGCCGCCAGATGGTAGTAGCTGCCCAACCAACATGGGCTGTATCAGGAAGTAGCGGTTTTTGGAGCGGATCATTTCACTTCACATTGCTTCACTACTCGCGCTGCCATTGCGTGGCACGATGTGTCCAAGACTGACATGGCCGGCGACGCGGATCCAGAGTCTTCAAGCGAGACTGCTGGCGCCCAGCGGTTTTTGGCGCCTCTCCAAGAGTGGAGCCTCTCGCCCGGGCCACCAGGACACCAGAGTTTTCCCTGAATCCCACCAGAGTTTTCGACACCAGAGTTTTCCCGGTTTCTCTTTGAGACCCTCCAACTGTAGGGGGGGAGTTGGAGCAACCTTGGGTCCAGATCGGTGCCCTTTGGGCTAAATGAAGCCGAAGGCACGGGGCAGATGCCGAGGTCCAAGACCAGGCGCAGGAGCAGCGGGCGGCGCAAGAGGCCAGACCGTGATTCTGCGTGTTTGCAGCAAGCGGGTGCAGCTGGTGTAGCTTGATTAGACATGCACATATATGTATGTATTTATATTTATGTACATATGTATATATAGACGTGGTAGCAGCCAAGGGTTTCCCGCCACAACATCAGCATTTTGCGGATCTTGTTGTTTGGTTTCCTTTGTGAGGAAAGCCTGAATCGAGTTGCGGGAATCGAAGTTGTCTTTATTTGTGAGGAAACATGTATATAATTGGGTTAGGGCACTGCAAAGATCATAAGATTCGCCAAGAGCAAATAATAACCAGTTTGGGATTTTTGTGTTGTTTGTTTGCAGCCTGGGAATCCGCAACAGCACGAGGGTTCTTTTTTATGGGAGCCTAGTTTTGGAGTTGACAAGTGTTTCAGAAGAGTTTCAACAGCGTTTCAAAATGTTTCCTAAGAATCTGCGTAATTGCCTCAACATGGGCCTATTTGACAGGTCGAAAACCTGCCACAGCAAGTCCAAAGCAAGGCCCAAAAACAAGTCATATTGAAATCCTCTCGTCGAAAAGTATCTCGTTTTGAAGGAATTTGGGGCGTAGCAAAAAGGGGGGGGGACTCCAGTTCTTGACCCACCCCAATGTTGTTCTCCAGGGATTTTGTGTTATTTCAGTAGGGGGAAGGGATCAAAGGGCTCGTCTTCATATGATTTTGGAGTTGTCGACAAGGGTTTCTTCCGAACCAATCGTTGGTTTCGGTTGTTTGTTCGTTTCCAGAGTGGCTCTTGAAGAAGTTGATGGTTTTTGGCTATCAGTTTGTTCCCCAAGAGTAGCTTCAATAAACAGATGAAACAATTGTCGCTTGTTGGCTGTCGGGGTTGTTGCGTAAACAGGTCGAGAAGCCGAGGAAATCAGGAAGCTCGCTTTTTTCCCTCCCAGTGGAGCCACTATTGTAGGGCTTTAGAACAGGCAGGTTGTTTGTAGTTGTTGCAACCGGGGCTTTCTCCGGAAGTGTTTGTAACAGTGGATTTTCAATGTTGAAACCCTGAGCAATGTATGGGAACGGGGTATGCCGTAGCCCACAAAGGAACCCTCCCACATGCTCCCTTTTGGCTAAGGAAAGAGTTTGTCAGGACCCCTGAAGGAACCCTCCCCGTATGTTCACTTGTGGGGCACCCAGGTTTTATGGGGATGGCGGGTGGGGATGATTTGACCCATGTGGGTGTGTCTTGTTCAGGGTTGGACTTTTCCACAATTTGTGGTTTTCCTTTTTTGGGGCACCCTCAACAAAAAGCCGCACCCATGTTTGAGTAGAAAGTTGGACGCCCACCCCCCGAGGAACAAACGCGCTTGTGTGTCGGGGTGTGGGGGTTGATCAATATTCCCTTCGACCATTGGGCCCTGTTTTGTCATCCCATGTAAAGGACCGTTTGATCAACCCACAGGTAGAGGAACGTCTGTCATTTTCAGAGGCTTTATGTTGCCTTGGGGCTCGACGAGCTGTATCCGTTTTTTGTTGGCAGGGCCTGGCGAGTCTTTTCCCATGGCTGTGTTGGGTGTTTTCAACACTAGCGATGGGGTTCCTTTTGGTTTGGCTTTTGACACTATCCAGAAAGTAGGCAACACCCTTGAGTCACGGTGTCAATACTTGGTAAAGAGGTCATGAACAAATAAAGCCGTCGGCCGCTGATTTTGGCGGGTCTCTGTATTACAACCTTGTTTCATCCGAGTTTGGATGTGCCCGAATTTCCCCCCCCCCCCCCCGATTCACTACGAGGCGTGTTGCTGTGGGGCTGCTTCATATGTTTTTGTCCCTGATCGATCGTAAAAGGACAAGGTCACGACCTTTTACAACAAAGAAACAAATAGTGGTTCAGACACTTTCCGTTCCGCTTTGCCCAGCATCTCCCTGAAAAAGTCGACCAAAGTTAACATGGCTTCATGGACCGTCAAGAGGGCAGGATGGGCCATCCCCAGTCAAAGGCCTCAAGAAGGCCTCAAGGGCTTATCCTCGGCTTTGCTCGGCTGATGGTATGGCCCTCTGAAACCCGGGGAATCCTTTTCGGCAAATGGCCGTGGGCAACACCAGTGGTTCCATTTTGGTTGGTAGGTGAATTCACCACCCATTTTGGAACCTATTTTAGTTTCCGCGGCGAGCTCGCCGTGAAAGGCGCTGGAAGAGCTGCAGCAAGAGACCTCGGAGTGCCGGCGACCCGAGTCGCCGGCGAGCGCTTGGGGTCCGTTTTTGGAGCCGAAGACAAGCAAAGCCCTGCTTAAGCAGTGTGTGTGTGTGTGTGCGTGTCTTTTTGAGTCTCGCTCCCTTTTTTGGGTGGGTCTTTTTAATTGGAAACCAAAAGGAAAACCACAATTTTTCGGGTTCCCCTAGTTTGACACATACCTTAGTGAAGCAATACCGGGAGAGCGATTGCTAAAGAGATGGAATTGATGTGGTGAGTTTGTCACGCACCACACAACATCCTCCAACGACAATTCACCGGACAAATCCCCAACCGACATTTTCCAAGACGCCCCCAAGACATATTCCAAGACATGCCCCGAAGATGCTTTTGGACATGTGATGAGGAATGCTTTTGGTGGATTGCTTTCGGATGTCTTTGGAAATGAGGTCGCACATTTTTGATTTCGGTTCGTGGCCTCTATCAGGTTTGAGACTCTTCTCAGATTAGTTGAATGGGAAGCGACACATGCCCAGCTCATATCCAACAAAGCTTCCCAAGCCACCTGCCTAGGCTTGTCTACCTGCGCCAGCCGGTCTGGGCTTTCAGCCCTGGCGCCGAGCTTAGGCGGAGCGGGGCAGCGCACCGCTAAGAGGTCTGTTTGTTTTCGTTTTGCTTGGTTGTTGGGTCGCTCGGTCGCTTTCTTTGTTTAGTTGGTCGGTGTGTTTGTTTCTTTGGTTGGTCGGTCTGTTTGTTTGGTTACTTGTTTGTGTGTTTGTTTCTTTGTTTGGTTGTTTGTTTTTTTGGTCGGTTGGTTGGTCAGTCGTTGGTCGGTCCGTCGGTCGGTCAGATAATTTGTTTGTTTGTTGGGTTTGTCTGTCTGTCTGTCTTTCTGTTTGTTTGTTTGTTTGGATGGTTGGTTGGTTGGTTGGTCAGGTCGCTCTGTTTGTTTGTTTGTTTGTTTGTTTGTTTGTTTGTTGGGTTTGTCTGTCTGTGGGTTTGTTTGTGGGTTTGTTTGTTTGTTTGTTTGTTTGTTTGGTTGGTTGGTTGGTTGGTTGGTCGGTCGCTCTGTTTGTTTTTTTGGTTGGTCGGTCGGTCAGTCTGTTTGGTTGTTTGTTTGTTTGTTTGTTCGGTTGGTTGGTCGGTCGGTCGGTTTGCTTGTTTATTTGTTTGTTTTTGTTTGGTTGAAGGGCAACCAAAGGCAAACCAAAGGGAAACCACCCATTGGGCATCCCCCTATTTTGAGGCATTCCGTATGAATCTTGATTGGGCACCCGAAACGGACCGTTTGGTGGATATCACGTACAGGGTAAATTTGTGTCCGGCCATTTTGAGGATGTTCCCCATTAAAACTTGTTGGTAAATGTTTGATTTTCTTTTGCCTTTTCTTTTCTCCCCAAACACCCCAAGCATCGAGCTTTGCTTGGAGCCTTTTCCTCTCAACTTGCCGCCAATTTCCCTGCAGCAGCGGCTCGCTTGGAGCTTTGCGGTTTCATGTCATTTGCTTCGTGCACCCTCCGATGTGTCACCCTCCGATGTGTCACCCTCCGATGTGTCACCCTGAATGCATGTCAAAGTTGGTTGCCGGTTCAGAGGGAGTTAGCAAGGTCCAAAGATTTTGACACTCGCTGTCAATGACTGAAAAATGCACCGCGCCTGTGCTTGCCCTTCTTTCGACGTCGAACAGTGTCTGAGCTTGTTGCTCTTTGTACAGCTTGGCCTGTGGCCGAGTTTGTTGTGGTTTTTGTTTGAAAATGCACCCTTTTTGGGGTCGTTTTAAGGGAAACCAAAAAGAATCATCACCCACTTGACTTGGAGGGTTCCTCTTTGAGACAATCTCTTTCCTTTTGCAACTTTCCTGCAGCGTTACTGTTGCTTTTGGGTCTTCGCATGAGAAGCTGCTGGCTGCTGGCTTCGTTTCCACTTCCGGCACGGAACTTCTGGAATTCAGGCGAGCCCCCAAGTCACTATTCCAGGAGCTTTGGCTGGGCAGCCGTGGCAAAAAGGAACGCGGGTCCCACGCGCCAAAAAACGGGGGAGTGAATCATACCCACATGGAAGTGGCCAGTGTTCAGCAAAGTTTCCTCAGCCAAACCATGCAATCAACCAACAGAAAAGGGTGTCCTTGTTTTCCCATGGCCACGGGGCATATCAATTGTGGAATGAGAAAGGAGCGTCCCTCGAAGAAAATACTGCTTCTTTCAAATTTTCCCGGATGTGCCCCCGTTGTACGCAAGAGAGGGTGACTCATGTAGCATTCCCACCCTCAAAGTATACTGCCGAACCCTTGCTACTCGCTGTATTGGGCAAATTGTTGGGGCATGGATGCTTTCACAGAATTCAAGGTTTACAACACAGTGACCCTTTTCCTACTGTGGGTTCACGAAATCCTTCACCACTTGGGAGGACAATATGGAATAATAGGACACACCACCTGCCAACTGGTGCAGGATTTGTCCATCCTCAGTGTTGTGACCCCTTCCCTGTTGACGATTCGGCCTTCAGCCTGTCTCACTGGACCTAAGGCACAAGAGATGGATGAGCGAGTGGCGGGGCTCCTGTCATGCTGCATGGGCAGAAGGGAAGCCAGAAGGAAAACGTGTGGGGACAAGTGTTGAGTGTTCATGGGTGTGACTGAAGCTTCTTGATTTTCAGATTTGAGACTGAGCTGCGAGGGGTTCACTTTGACATCCAGCGCCAGTGCCGATGATGCCCGTATGCCGGAGATTCTGATGACGGAGATGCCGGTGATGCCGGTAGTGGTGATGCTGGTGATGCTGCCGATGCCGGTGATGCCAGATATGCGAGTTGATGCCGGTGATGCCAGAGATGCTGGTGAAGACAGTGATGTCGGTGATGCCGGTGATGCTGGTGATGCCGATGATGGTGCTGATGCTGCTGATGTCGGCGATGTTGGTGATGCCGGTAATGCTGGTGACGCCAGTGATGACGGCGATGCCGGTGATACCGGTGATGCTATGCCGGTGATGCCGGTGATGCGGGCAATGCTCGTGATGCCAGTGATGCTGGTGATGCCGGTGATGCCGGTAGTCAAAGATGGATTGTTTGTTGTGGATCCGCGAATGTTTTCTTGCGCTTCATTCAGGGAATGCAAACATCGACTTTAAAAGGAAGCTTGCATGGGACCCGACAAATGATGAGACGCTCACTATGAAGCAATGAGGTTAACTTCGGCTTAATCCGGAGGACGATTCAGGGGATGACAACCCACAGAAAGTTTCGGACGTGTGTCCCCTTGGGCCGCCTCCCTGGTTTCAAACAGACGCATAGGCCAATGCCATGAAAAGACGGGGTTTCTTCCGGGAAATATGTTTCCTGGGTTTTTGCAACATGTGGGACCCGAAAAGACATAGATCGCCTCTTGTTTTCCTTTCAAATGCCATCAAGAAACGATCCTGTTTATTCAGGGAAACACCCGTACGTGCCACGGTAACCACCCCTGTACTTGCTGGGGCCGGCCATGAACACTTTTCCAAGTCTTTCAGACCACTGGCTGAGGGAACGGCATCTCGAGGCCAGCTGCCAGGCTCTGGTTGCGGCACAGCCCTGGCGCCGGGCGCTCAGATGTCCGACGGATCGATCCATTGGGGAGGGGTTCTTCGGTGCAAGTGCGGGTAGCTCGTTTCGTCATGGGGCGAAGCGAGCGAAAACCCATCTGAAGGTCAAACTGGGTTTCCTGATGTCTAGTTTGCGAACAGTGATTTGGGTTTCCATGAAGGTGGGCGTTTTGAGGGTTGCCTTACATGACTTCTGCTCCGTGAAAACCGAAGTCCTTTGATTCTTGGGCATCAGCCGTTTGAGGAATGTATAACGTACAAACAAACCGGCAGGTGAAGCTTGGACAGTCTTGCCAGAAGCTTCGGATATATAGATTCAGTTCTTCAGGTTCTCGGCAACGGGTTGTCACTGGACTCGTCCTTTGGACCTAGGTAGTTTTTCACCTCTTCGGACCCTTCGGGTGCTTGAAGGTACAATGCACATTTGACCATGCTGATTGACTTGCAATGGTTGTGGACATGTTTGTCTTAGACCCACTTTCCGCGATAAGACACCTAAAGTGATGAACTTGTGGAAGGCCCGTTTATCACCTGATGCATGTCCCACTATGCTTCATTGCCTTCCTTCAGCTCATTTTTTCAGATACAGTCACGCTGTACGAGTTGGATCTACTGGTTTCACCTGAAATGAGCCACGATCAAAAGCCGGGGCGCCTTCGCGACCTTTCGAATTCCATCTCCGATGGGTTTGATGGGGGGTGGCCCAGGTTGATACCGATGGGGTTTCACTAAGCAAGAGTTGTATTGATGAGACGTAGTAAACCAATCATATAACAAACATGTAAGCTTCTTATGCCAATTCCAATGGGGTTCCCACGCCCCCGAAAAGGAGGGCCCGCCCTCTTTTGGTGACGCCGCCACCCCCCCCCCGGTGACGTTGAGCCTCAGGGCCTGAGCTGGAGCTGGCGGCCGAGCAGTTGGAGCGGCTGGAGCACCAAGAGCGGCTCCACAGCCAGGAGAGCGGATTTGGAGCGGATTTGGAGCGGAGTATACCGCGAAAGGAAACCCAATTAGAGGGCATCAAACACCTACCCATAAGATAAGACCCCATCCACGCCTAGGAAGCACCCACCCACGGTTGTGAAGAAGCTGCTTTGGTGCGTGCCGATGTTTGAGATCGTTTGACATCTCACACGAGAAGCAACATGAGAAAGATTAGTGGATCCCATTTGCATCAATGGTAGGTAACCAGCCATTATTTCCGTTTCGCTGCCCGGTGTACAGGCAACTGGGATTGTATCAAAGAATAGGCCTCCAAGAATTGAACAAAAAACGGAGGTCGCCTTTTGGTTTCCCTTTAAACCAGCCCCAACAGTGCCCTCGAGAAGCACTGACCAAAATGCATCCGCAAGAATCTCGCTTTGGGCACGTCCCCTTGCGGTGCCACGTGAATTTGCAGGCCGTGCCCTTTGCATTTGGATGCTTTGGACTGTCCGGAAAAATCTTCGGCAGGAGGTGGCGGAAGAGGCACGGGAGGCGTGGTGAGCCGAAAAGGGAAAGACCAAGCCAGTGAGAGGGCCAGAGGGCCCAAGGTGCTCCGCACATTGGAAGACAGCACCTCCCTGACTCTTTGCCGGGCCCAGAAGCTCCAAGGACTTTGGTCGGATTGATCCTTGTGACCTTAGGGAGACAAGTCCGGAAATAGATGCCCCGAGTGCGGAATGCGGCTGCCCGGTTTTGCCGCTTCCCAACTCTGGATCCCTCAAAGTGATGTGGAGAGCTTTCAATTCAGTGTTCCTTTATGGGACCTTCCACGTGCATCTCGCCGTTCCAATTGCCCCGAGGCAAGCGAGACAAGACAATAGCCACGGATTGCCACAGAGCTGTGTGAACAAAGCAACTTCTTGGGGCAGTTTCGCGACTCAAGAACTCTTCTCGCAGTTTATCCTTAGTCCTGAGTTTCGGTTGGTGGTGGTTTCCTTTGTTGCAGTCGTGTGTCTGTTCTGAACAACCCAGGTGTCCACCTTCCGATGGCTTGCAGGTTTTACCTTTGACACAAACCAAGAGCCCTGTTCGTTGGGTCCGCTCGCCGACGTCAGGAACTCCTTTTGCGGTTTTGGTGATCGTGTGGCGTCAAGACGGGGTGGGTTGGCTGCCACATTTGTGCAACCCCCTGGAAAAAGGTGGGAACCCAAAGGAGGTTGTCTGAACAGCAGTAGCCATGTCATACGTTCTTCAAGCAGACCCCACCAGTGTTGCGGGACTTTTTGGACACGTTTTCCGATGAACAGGACAAATTCTTGACAGGGGCTACAACAGAAGGGTCCAATAACACCCCTTGATTGGGGGAAAAACGATCCCAATTTTGCTGAGACCTGGAAGGCTCCAATCCTGAAAACCCCCCAGGCAGCTGCCCAGTGCGACGCCGCCTGGAAGCTGCAGGCGCCAGACGCGTTTGCTGCTGAGCAAACACGCAGCTGCCGGCGGTTGCTTTGGTTTTGAATTGCTTGTTTCGTTTTTTTTTGTTTCTAAGGAAAGAGTTGCTAGGTGTCTTTGTGGGTTTTGTATGTCTTTTTCTGCGGGGTAGCGGAGCCTGCTGCTTTGTTCCTCAGCGGCCAAGGGTTGGGGTGGCAATGTTTGTGTATGGGTACCCTTTCTTGAGGTTCAAAGGAAGCCACTCAGGCACCGTGAATGCTTCGATGGAAACCTTGGGAACAAGTTCTGGTTACCCGCTGCTGCCGTTTACTCCCGTGCAGAGCATGGAACCCAAAGAGGCGTTCCCTAAAGAGGAGATTCCTCGAGAAAGGATGGCCTTTCGTGTTCCGTGATTCGAGGAAGAGTTGCTTTATTCCACTTTGGAAAGTCGCAGATTTGTACTATCTTAAGAACTTGGTCTGCGAATGCTGCCCTGCATTGTGACCAGCAACCAGTCTTAGGGCGATGTTTACAGCGCTTGCTGGAAAATCCATGGGTCTCGTGACTGGGAACTCGCATTTTTTTTTAAAATCCCTTGCTCCCTTCTTGCGCCAGTAAGCAGCCCCCTGTTGCATAGTGTTTGTAGTGTGTCTGCCTCAAGGGGCCGGAAAACATAAACATGGATCGGGTTCCGGTAGATGGTCTCCCGGGTGCACCTTCCTACCAAATGATTGCTCCGACCAGTAGTCGTAGTGTCCGTCCTCCGCCGATGAAGACCTGCTTCTGGTCTTCACTCAACTTCTGTTTCAAATCCAAATGGTCAGAGTTGTACCCCAGCATTCCTAGCTCCAGATTGGTCATGAAACAAGAGAACTTGTTTTTGTTTTGTTTTTTCGCAAGTAGGCCCGGCGGGATTCGAACCCGCGACCTCCCAGGACGCCACGAATGGTGTCTGCAGCAGAGCTGCTAGGTGCGCTGCCATTGCGCCACGGGCCCGATGGCCTACTTGGCGGAGCAATCGGACAGAGGCGACTTCAGGCAGATGATTGGCAATACTTGGCCTGTCATCGTGGCCTCGAACTCGGATTGATCGCTGACAGACGAGGAGCCTGTGCGGCCAGACACTGGGGTGCCCTTTGTGGTGACTTCTGCCGACGCAGTATTGACCCCACACACTGGCAGTGAAAAGTGATTATGTCCTACAAATGGCGCAAATCAGGGCACATCACACAGCTTGAAGCGATTGCAGTGCAAGACTTGTTGAAGAAGATGGCCAGATCCGCTGCAAGGCTCATGAACAGTAAGCTGCTGGTGCTGATTGACAACCAGCCAGTGGTGAGCATCCTGACCAAAGGTCGGAGCAGCGCTCGCCAGCTTCAGCAACCGCTTCGTCGCTGTTGCGCCCTTTTGATTGCCTCCAACTCTCGGCTCTTGGTTGGCTGGGTGAAGTCCGAATGGAACCCGGCTGACGGTCCCAGCAGATGGACCGTCAAATGTGCAATGACAGATGCCTAAAAGGGCAAAAGTGCTTGCGGAGCGGTCCAAGCAAGAGCGGAGAGTTGAGAGGCAAGCTTTGGGTCAACTACGGTCTCAAGTGGTAGCGCCAGCCACGGAGAGCCGATACCTCACAAGTGTCTCGCGATTTCTGGCATTTGTTCGTTTCCATGGCTTTCATCGAGAGGTTTCACATTTCATTGAAAGTTTGTGGGAAGAAGGGGATCCCAAAAGCTGGGCCAGCGTGTCCGGACTTGGCCACTTCATTCCAGCAGTCAAACCGCATTTGCTTGCAAGTTGGCGGCTTCATTCCGCAAGGACACGTGCAGAGTTGCCAGCGCGGGCGCCTCCTTTGACTGCATTGTTGGTGTATGCGCTGGCCCAGCTTGCATTTGACAGGCGTTGGCCTGACACAGCTGTTTTGATTGTTCTCGGTTTCCACACTTTTGCACGATCAGGAGAGCTTTTCGTCTTGCAGAAAGGTACGGGCGCTTGGTCACTCCCTCTTACAAAATCGGGACAGCGTGCTGGGGCCTCTGAAAGCATTTTGCTAACTGACCGTTTTGTGGTTTCTTGTTTGCCGTTCCGGCGTCATCACTTTGCTGTTCCGGCTTCTGCGATGGACGCCAGGCAGCTGACACACTTTGGCATTTTGAACGAGAACGGGTTTGCGGATTTCGACCTGCTTCTTCGTAGCAGGGAACGTTTGACTTGGCGGCACCAGCATGCCGGGTCCATGTGCTCCATGAGCCTCCTGGCCAGACGGCCGCCTCCCAGAAGGCCATTTTGTTGATACGCAGGCTCTGTAATGGTTGGCACTGGGTGAGACACATTGTACAAGACTCTTTCTGAGTCCTTGGGGTGCTTCAAGGGTGAAGATGTGCTGCAGCTCTATTTTTCTTGCCTTGTATTCCTGGCTTGGATTCATGCGGACAAAGGTGTAGCTCATAAATCAACAAGAACAAGGATTTGTCACTTTTTTTGGCTGGCCATCCCCTCACCCCCATCCCCAAGACCGCCCACCCACAAATTGGAGTTTATCCTTGGCAAGGTTCGGCCACTGGACTGGACCCCGTGCATTTGTTTTCTTGCACTTTTTGACAGCACGCCCGCAACAACGCCCCAAAACAGCGTACCTTGAAGTCCCCTGTTTGCCAGTGTCGTTTGAGGTTGGCAACTGTACGTGATGCAAAACACGCGCGGTTTTCAGTCCGCCTGGAAGCTTTTGCTGGCTTCATTTGAGGTGGGGGGGGTGTGGGGCATTGTCTTGAACATTGTGGAGCTTCGAAGTCAAGAAGCCTTTGCATGAAAGGGAATGCCGGACCAAAGCCGGAACCTCCAAACCAAGGACCCAACAGCATAATATAAAAGCAAAACTAAGTAAAAGGCCGAAGCACAACACCAAAGCAAACGCACCTTTCTGTTTCACTTCGCAAAACCCGTGGCGGCGGGAGGTCGTCGATTGTTACCAGGCCCGGCAGCTCAAAGAGGAGCTGCAGCGCACGCAGCAGCAGGCCATTGGTCGCCTTGCGTCGGTGCTTCAGTGGAAGTGGAAGTAGGTGCTGGTGCGATAGGCTGGGAATGAGGGAATGAACCTGGGGATTCCCTTAAAAGAAACCAAAGGGGATGGTTTATAGGGGTCACTCTGAACACCAACAAGTTTGTTCCCCATAAAGGGCCCGTGGGTGGACACGGACAACGGTTTGTCATCGAACGCCGCTCTTTTGTCAAGGGGTCAAATAGGACCAAATCCCTCCTGTTTGGCGGACTTTCGACGGGATGAGCAACAAGCGAACATTTTCACGGGATCAAACAGAAATTTCAAGTAAGATTCGGCTTCCGGTCTCTGTGCTTCTTGTCCTTGTTCGGGGGCGCCCGAAGACGGCCGACCACTTTTTTTGGGCGGGTCGGCTTTGTGATCACCTCAAGAGGCAAAAGCAAACCGTGTAAAAAAAAGTCCCCTGTTCTGGTTTTCGTGACTTGTTTTGGGTTTTCGCACTAAACCATTAACCACCACTAAAACTTTATCAACCTTAAACCAAACCGAAGCCCGCCCTGCGCCCACCATAAACCCACCTTCCACCACCCTAAAGAATCTAATCCAACGCTAAACCAACCCTGAATGCACCCCAGACCAACCATGCTCAAGAATCGCGACACAAATGTCAAGCCCGCCCCAAACCAACCCTGAGCACACCTCAAACCAGTCCGAACCACCCCAGACGTGTGGGTACGGCTCAGGGCTGTGGACCCCTGTCCCACAGATTCGTCCTTGCTTTCAGGCTGCGGGCCTAAAAGCGCTGGAGAAGCCCGGGCCGCGGAGAAGAGTGTCGAGGGGTTGGGGGCGACCCCGTCCACTGAAAAGGAGGGGGTCTCAAGATTGGAGGAATGAGGGTCTTGGCTCCTTCTGGAGGAAACTCTTTCTGTTTTTTTTGTTTGAACACTGAGTTAGGTTCCATGTATGGACGGTACCTTTTGACATGCTTACTTGGGCAGAGGAATGCCCGACATGGTTTGTCCATTCTTGAGGTTCATCTTCAGACCCAGGGTTCGACTGAAACCTACAGGACAATAATATTGGGAAATACTGGGGTAGCGACTCTCTCAAGGCCCCGGATTCGAGAAGGCCATATTTTTCGGATACGCGTCGTGGTAGATTGCTAAGAACAAGTCAAGACTCACATGACTGATGACTGCGCGACAACTCGTGACCTAGGATTCACAGAATTTTGATGAAGTCGTCGAAAAGCTCTCGACCCAGATTTTTTTTGACTCCGAAAACCGCTATGAGCTTTTTGAGCCTCAAGATAAAGATCGTTACAATAAGCACCTCGAGTTGAAAGGGGGTGCCCCCCACAAGACTTGATATATTCCGAATGGCTACAACTTCCCCCATGCAGTGCAAATGGAACAATGGGAGGTGTTGGTAGGTCAGCCTCGTCTTTATTAAGGCCACCTCCAAAATCCAGTTCTATTTGGGGTCGACTAAATATGAAGCAGAAACTGAAGGCTGCCTTTGGTGTGCCGCAGCGTTGGGCCAAGTCTCTGCAAAGTCTGCGTGCGCATTTCACCTTCCCAGGACCGATATAGTTCACTTGCAGAGCTCATCCGTTGACCAATACGATGCCATCTCAAACATCGCGGCCTATGTTTGCAACCGGGCATGACTCGCATGGCACTTGTCTCGAGAGATGCAGTGTTTTACACTGAAAGCCGTGCATTGATCAACAGCAACATATATATGTATATATATATATATGTATACATGATATATGTATACATACATACATACATACATACATACATACATACATACATACATACATACATACATACATACATACATACATACATACATACATACATACATACATACATACATACATACATACATACATACATACATACATACATACATACATACATACATACATACATACATACATACATACATACATACATACATACATACATACATACATACATACATACATACATACATACATACATACATACATACATACATACATACATACATACATACATACATACATACATACATACATACATACATACATACATACATACATACATACATACATACATACATACATACATACATACATACATACATACATACATACATACATACATACATACATACATACATACATACATACATACATACATACATACATACATATATATATATACATATCCATTACGTACAAATCCTCCAAGTCACCATGTTAGCTACCTACTATTCAGAGGAGTCCTAGAGGACCCCACTGGAATACTCTCAGAAAAGATTCTAACCAGCCGTTGTCCCGTGAATTCCTCTTCGAACCATCCTTTCATTGGACATTTCCCATCCGCGGATCCGCGGATCTCCCCAGGCAACCCTTCCCGTACCTCGGCAACTGGATCTCGGACCTTTCCACTGAGCCAAACCCACCAAACCGGGGTTGCGGGGGGCCTCTTCCGTGCAACATAAAAACAGCTCTGAGCAGCACAAAAACAACAAACCCAATCAACACTTGTCAGGTTGATCAATCCGGTTGAATATCACGTGGGAAAGTGTCAACTGGACCCCAAATGCATTCCCTCGCAGAACCATCCTCCAATTCTACCATGTCCTCTTATCTTCCCCCCCAAACAACAATGGAAGCCCCCAAACTCGTTGGTCTCCTTGTGGCTTCCCTTCTTCTTAAAACCTTCCCCTCCCCCCTCCCACGCCCCTCCACCCCTCCCACCGCCCCCTCCACCCCTCCCACCGCTTTCACCGCCCCCCTTCCCCCCTTCCCCCCTCCCCCCCTTTCCCCCCCCCCCCCTTCCTTGACCGTTGACCTTCGCCTGACCTTCGCTCAAGGCTCCAAGTGGAGCACGCCCGCCTGGCGCTGCAGCTGTCGGAGCTGCAGCGCTCGGGCCTCGACTTCTCTCCGAGAGAGCTTTGGGGGGGAATTTTTTTTCGGCCCGAGGTCCTGGGAGGTTTCCTGCAGACCGGGTCTCCATTTCGCTTCTGTTTTTTTCGGGCTGGCGAAGGTGAAGTTTGAAGTGGTTCTCTCTTTCAAGAGGCTTCCAAGATTTGGGGTTTTGATCAAAAGGACGGGAAGCCATGGATGAGGGAAACCACCAAGAAGGATGATTAGCCATGATCATTTTGGGGCCAGGATTTTTCAACCCGCATGTCTTATTTTGGGTTGGCGAATGTGAAGTATGACAATTTGCCCGGAGTCATGGCAGTTGAACTAACTGAGGAGTCACCAAGGACCATTTGGGTCATGGGCGGGGACAAAAGTTATCTGTAGGCGAGTTATAATGTTTGGCTTAGAACGAGATCACCATCAGGGTTGATGACATTTGGTTTACACTATGGGGGTGGGGATGAAATCCAGAGTATCATTTGCAGAGCTGACGCAGGTGATGCTGGAGAGGCAGTGGCCAGATTTGCTTTTCGCAGTAGTTTTGTTTCTTTCTGTTTTGTCGAGGTCTGCTAGCAGTTTGCAAGTCGCGAGCTCATCTTGCAGATGATGAGGGAGATGCTGGGTGCTCTTTGGGGATGCTGGCTGGTGATGCCAGGGATGCTGGCTGGCGATGCCAGCGTGCTCGTTCATTGTATTGACATAGTTGTAAAGCAAATCCTATTGGACAAGAACTCCTGTCTAGAATTTATGTTTTTGATTTAGAACATTTCTGATTTAGATTCCAGTTTGACATAGACATATTTCTTTCCTTGCTAAACTCCACCCCAACTGAGATAGAAAATCGAGGAGAAGTTGATACATATTTCAGAGGTCCAACAAATGTGTTTTAAGTAGACACAATGCAGGCTACAAACAGTAGATCGGCAGTGAAAGCTTTAGACATTGTCTTGACCCTTTCCAATTCTTCTAGGTTTCCTGGGTGAAGCTATTCAAAGTCAGATCTGATGGTGTGGAAGCTGAGAAACCCCTCCAAACTCCAAATCTTGTGGGGGAGCGGGCGACTCCTCCAAGTTTCCTTCACATGATTTTGGCTACTCTTCCAAACTTGCTAAGACACCCCCCTTGCACGATTTTGGCTCACCTCCACTCCCCTCCTCAGACACATTTGGGTTTGGGTCAAAATCAAGCCACCAGAAAAGCCGCAGGTTTGTCCATGTTTCCACTTGCCAGGGTTCCGTTTTGGGTACATATTTTTGCCCCATGGGTCAAAAGCCGAATCGTCCCAGTGAAGATCCCTATCCAACCACTAAAATAGGTCCTAAAATGGGCGGTGAATTGAATTCACCTACCAACCAAAATGGGATCCCAAAACGGTTTTGTCCACCACTGCCATCTCTTGAAACGTCCCCCTCCACCCCTCCGCAGGTCAGGGAGCCAGCCACGAGTGGCACCTGCCCCGGCTGCAGCAGCGCCTGGAGTGCCCTTTTTTTCACGGGAGCGAAACTCAAAGAAACACAGACAACGCTGCGGCTCAAAAAACCGGAACTCCAAAAATGGAACCCTAAGTGGAAACAAAGGCCAAAACCTGCGTAACCCCTCCTGCTTAGTTTTGAGCCACAGCCATATAACGAACCCTTTGTCATGGTTTTGGTCGTGAGAGTTCCCTTTGTACAAGGCATTTTTTTTGTGTCATGGTTCGTTTTGAAGGGGGGAGTGCCCTTGTTTTTGAGGGAGGTTCTCTTTGTTTAAGGGTTGTTTCTGCGAGGCTCACATTTTTCTGAGGGAGGTGGTTGGGCTTGCCTGGCCCAAAAAGAAGGGCGCAAGCCGGATAATTCAAGGGCGCTGAGCCGAAAGGAAACCGCACCATTTTGAGACAAGCCATGTCACTTCGCTTTGGACCGAGATAGGGGAAGCCTGTGGTGAGGAAGGAGTGGCCCTGCGTTTCACTGCGCAGTTGTGCGCACAAGTATAGGGCGGAGGACTTGCGGCTAGTAACGCTTCGGGTTCCAGCCTGTTCTTCTCTCGTTGGTAGCAGGGATGGCAAGTGGACCCAGCTGTGCGAGCTTCGTAGTCGGCAGCAATCTTGAGCGAGGCGTCAAAGGGGAACGGCGCTCACAGTTGGTTTGCCAGGAGCTGCACGTAGTGCCGTCAAAGAGTTGGATTGAGACTTCGAAGCCAGACCTGAGTCGTCTTCAAGGGGCCTGCTATAGCACCCCTGCGCAGCGATCTTGCCGGCAGCAGTCCTTTGCGAGCGGCACGCAGCCTTCCACGCGTCATTTGAGCAATTGTCATGTGAGGTCCAAGTCTGTGCAAGCTGGGGCCGACCCTTTGCACCCTCGCGCGCTTAGCATCCTGCCAAGGACCTTGATAGTAGGCAACAGGCTCTGGCGGCCATTTGCGCAGTCGAGAGCCGCTTCGTCGTGCTGTGTCTCGAGCTCCGCTAGTCAGTCTCCATGTATCCATTGTTTCCAAGCCTTTGGTTGGCGCCCCGCCTCGAGCAGTGGCTGCCTGGTGCATGGCGCTTCATTGGCCTCTGTGCACCCTGGTGTGCGAGGTAAAGTGGGGCTGATGGCTATGGGGGCCACACACACAAGCAGTTTCACGAGGAGCCTGCAAGGAAATGCTGGATTGCTGCGAACGGATTCGATGGGATCATGAAGCCCTGCAAACTAAGAGCTGACGCAGTAGGTTGGCTGGCGTCCTTCCCGCCAAAGAAGGCGGGCTCGGTCGACGACGCCGGGTTGCGCAATTAGAAAGCCTGCTGCTCTTGTGGAAACGTGTTGCAAGATGCACTTTTGATGGCATGCGTTTTGACACTTGCAAGCCACTATAAAAGGGTTTTTGGTGGCAGCAAACAGTCGCTGCAAAGATAGGGTTTCTCCCGCCATCTGTTTGTCAGCTGGCGTTCTTCGAGGCGCGCTACGCAACACGTTCCCTTGGCGAACTTGCAGGAGCTGTTGAAATGCTTGCTGGCCGACATCTTGAGCCAAATCAACGGAAGGAAGCACGCTACCACGCAGGTGGCGCCGAACCTCGCCTACTCTGACCCCGAAATGGCAGAGATTGCTCTGCGCAACATCGAACGCAGGGCCAAGCACAAGGTGACCCGCCCGGAAATCAAGGTCGGGGATATGGTTCGGATCAGGGTTAAGCCGATCGAAAGCAGGGGCTCCTACAGGGTCAACGAGATAGCCTGGAGCGAAAAGGTATACAGGGTTGTCTCCGCCGAGAGCGGGGAGATGGGGGCGAGGTTTGGCTTGGAGGGGTGGCCGGAAAAGGTGGTGCACAGGGATCTCCGAAAAGTCCCCGAAAACTCAGCTCCCGAACCGCGGGGGTTGGAGGTGCAATCCCGCCAGCGGAGGCTACAGTGCGCTTGTGCCAATCCGAAGCAATCCAAGGTGCGGATTCGAATGTTTTACCGCGATGGCGCTAGTGAACGCAGTTATTCTGCTTCAGCCCCGAGCAGCGCTTTCTTGTGGCCTTTGCTGCAGCTTCTGCTTCTCCTCCGGTCATGCGCGTGCTTTGTGAGACGTGGCTGATGTCCGAAAAACCACCTCCAACTCGGCGAAGGCAATTGCACGTCATCAGGTTCAAGCTTTTGCTGCAAGGTCCAGACGGCTGTGTAGCGCGACTGGACCAGCTTGAGGAACGCAGTGTTTGTTGGCACGCTTTTGCAAATCGCAGAAAGCACCCGTCGTTGAGTGCACGAAATTGGTGGAGGCGTCTAGTCTCAGCCATCATGTGGCTTCTTGAACTGCACAACTTCTGCAGGGGCTGCTTGATGGCTTGGAGTGAAGTTTTGCAGCTCCAGCGTTTCTCTCGCCGGCAGCGTGGCATGTGTTGCATGCACGCGTGTGCTTGCAAGCATAGCTTGCTGGCGTGGTGAGAGTCCGAGTTGGAGTGCTGGGGCTGCCTGTCATGTTTGACCTAACCAAAATGGGGAATGTGGGGACAACTGGAAAACACGACGGGGAATTGGCTTGGACGAAAGGTAATCCCCGAAGCCAACCCCGGATTCCAACTTGGAGCATCCACGTGGCCGAAGCAGCAGAAGGGCTCCGTTTAAACCAAGCATTGGCCTTTGGCACGGATATTGCGCAGTGTTCGTGGCAGCGAGGCTGGGCTCCAAAAAATGTGCGCTCTGAACTTAGATGGCCACTGCGCGTTAGCTGTGACCAGCCAAACAGGCAAAGTGGAACGAGAATAGGAAGCGGGCTCACTAACGTGTCTAGTGCCGGTGCAATATATGATGGTTGATGGGTCGGCCGCTCAAGTACAGTGGTTTCCCCGATAGGATGCTGTACAAAGGTTTCCCGTCCGGTCCCATATTGTATCATATCATCCACCTGGACAAGCTACGTTACACAGGGTTTTGTGAAGGGATTCCTTTGGGCTTTTTAAAGTCCAGGGTTTGAGTGACATGAAATCGGAGTGGCCGCTTGCTAGGCCAAAAGCCGGCTTTGCAGGTACTTGTCCTTGGACTCCCCGGATGCCCAGGGAGTTTGGATCGACTCCCCCGAGTTTAGGCGATCCAGCCGTGTCGTGCCATGTTTGTGGCGCGTGCGTGCGTGCGTGCGTGCGTGCGTGCGTGCGTGCGTGCGTGCGTGCGTGCGTGCGTGCGTGCGTGCGTGCGTGCGTGCGTGCGTGCGTGCGTGGTGTGGGTGGGGGGTGGGTGGGTGGGCGGGCGTGCGTGCGTGCGTGCGCGTGTGTGTGTGTGTGTGTGTGTGTGTGTGTGTGTGTGTGTGTGTGTGTGTGTGTGTGTGTGTGTGTGTGTGTGTGTGTGTGTGTGTGTGTGTGTGTGTCCGCGTTCTTGCTTCTGTAGCTTGCGCTTTTGTTCCAGAAAGCGAACTGGGGAGCAGTGAGTCATGGAACTTGGCGGGTTCCATTCAATCACGGTGTTCCGAGACAACCAGTCCACCTGCACGCGAGGCTGGCGGAGCAGGGGCCTTTCACTTTGCGCTTCTACCCGCGGGGCGTCGGGGCCCGGGAAAGATCGATGCGAAGGTCTGGATGCCCTTTTCTTTGTTCCTTCTGCAGGGCTCCTTAAAAGATCTCCATGCAACCATTTGAATGTTCAGGTGTATAATGCATCCGGATCCCTGTTCTGTTCAGGTCGGCAAGCGGAGGTTCTTGGTGGGAAGCCAGGGGAGGGAAGACACTGCTCGCGCAAGTGAGGTGGCAGGAGGCGATGGGCTTTGCGCCCTAGGCGTCTTTGCCGGGATCTTAGGTTTGTGTGTCAGAAGTAGGCCCAAGGTGGCTGGTTTTTGCTTTGGGTTCACGAAACACGGGGCTTTCTACGGCCTTGTTCATTGGTTTTAGAGGGTTTGGGGAGCCCACAGAAGGTTGGTTTTGCTGTTGGAAAGGAGTCCGCCATTTTGAAAGGGAGCCTAGAGCCCCCCACCTTCGCAGTCCAATGGCTTGAGCAAAGCAGAGGGTCCTGAGGGAAGCACACGACAAGCCCGAATTGGCATCCCATACCCATCAAAACTCAACCCATTTGGCTCGGCTTTGAAAGGCGGGTTTGGATATCCAAGTTGGAGAGACAAAGAGCCATGGATTGGCCCCACGCAGTGTCAATACCCGATTTCCTATGATCCCGCCATTGCGTCAGAGTCGGCAAAGAGGCCCAACTTCAATGGACAACTTCGACAATTCGGTTTTGGTTTCTGCGCAACTCGCTATCAAATGACTTGCAAGGGGGTAGTTTGAGTTTCGCCAGAAAGAGGTGCGGCTATCCGTTTGAGTCTTTATATGGAGGGTTGACTCCTCTAGTGCCAGGTTATGTCAACTGCAGAATTCCCCTCCTACAAATGGATTTTCGGAGGCTCATCTTCAGCCACGGGTTTTCCCTCCCACAGGTTTTCACCTGCAGTAATCCCTGGTCGCATTTCCGCGAGGTTTGTGTTTTCAGATCTTTTGGAGCAATCTCAAATTTCCTTGCTTTGCAGGCGTTGCTGTCCCCGATCGATAGCAACTGAGGGTTTCAAGTCTTGCACTGCTTGGCGCTGGCATCGGTTCAGGCTGACACATTTGTTTGGCTTCGGCCGTGCTTGCGAGCCCTGATGAATGCAGCGATCACCCTCAGACATCTTAAATGAGATTCGGCAGCCTGTGGTCAATTTGTAATTTGGGAGGGATGCACAGGACTCGCAAAGTTTCCCATAAAACAACAGCACCTGGACTCACCATTTGTTCCATGCCTACTGCCGGTTCAGCATATGTTTGACCCTGGATCAAGTGGTCAATGCCCTCCGTGCATTTAGCAGTGCTCGTTTCCGCCGGCGGTCCATTTTTGGGTGCTTTGCATGCAGCTCTCCAAGAACTACGCCAAGTTGTAAGTGCTTGTTCGGAGGGCACCGTATTAAAGCAAAACAAAGCAGCAAACAACACACACCACACACCACACACATCCGCGCGCGAGTTTTTTCGTGGCGGCTTATCCTCATGCAAGTCGGGTTGTGTTTTGCTACATCCAGCTTCCTTGCTTGTCAGGTTTGCAGCGATGAGACTCTGAGCAGGACTCATCAAGTTTCCCACAAACAAACAGGGGACTCACCAATCAAGCCATGAATATTGACCATGGCTCATATGTTACTTAGCAAGCTGGGTGAACTTCAGCTACTGTTCTTTCCCAACATCGCGTGAGATGTCCCGTACGGTGGGTTGGGACTTGGGTTGAGCGCTCACCAAATGTCGATCTCGGTCGGTACATTCCCAGAAGCTCCGGTTCAGGCCGGCCATATCCCATGGACACATTGCGTCAGCATCCCGACCTGCAACTTGAGTCTAGCATGTACTTGTGCAGATTCCATTCTGAGTACCTGGTTGCTTGGCCTCAAAAACCATGTTTCAGTCAACAACCCACAAACATGAGTAGGCTAAATGTGCTCAAACATGATTCCCTCATGAGGCCTCCGCTTCCTGTTTATTTCAGCCCGCAAAGGCAATGTGTATGTATTATACATATATATGTATACACATCATTTATATATGCATAATATAGTCTTGTGAAGTAGTTCGGTGGAACCTTGAACTTTACCAGGGCAGGGGCATTGTTGGTTCTTGCCATGTGGCCGCTCAAAGATCGCGGACCCGTTTGGGTCCCCGTCCCCGGCTCCGACTAAAGCGCGGCTCCAGTCGCCAATCGCCTCACTCAGGCTGCCGCAGCTGCGAAGGCAGGGCTTACGGGAAGACTGGCGCGACTTTTCGTCCGGACTTTGCCGGTGCTTTGAGCCTTGGGCTTTGCGTTCCGTATCTCCTTCGCTGCGGTGGCTGTGGGTGAGAGCAACTTCTTCACCCTTGCCCACTCCGCACTGCTGAACAACCGCAAAGCCCTGTGCAGCTCAATGGGGGACCCATGGATGACACGCCACAGTTTTTTCTTTGACCCTTAGCTTTTATGTCCGTCAAGGGTTGCTTGGTTTTCAGGTGAAGTGAGAAGTTTTTCTCGGGCTTTCAGCAGGTACAAAGGTGGGTGTTCTCGAAGTGGGGTCACTCGAGCTTCCGCACCCTGTGTATCCGTATGTATGTACATATATACATGTATATATATATATATATACATATATATGCAAGGCGCTTTTCAGGGTGAAGTCAGGCGAGCGCCGTATGAGAGCTTCCCTGGAGGGGTCTTCATCATTTCCATGAAATACGAACGGTTATTTGAGCTGACCACAGCTTGGAGTTGTAGTAAACAGCTCGCGACCGACTTGGTCCCTAGCTCTTGGCAGTCAGGTTTGGCAGCACATCATTTGCCTCAGCTGAATCCCGGCACATGCACCCCGCCCCAACTTCAGGCACCTCAAGGAAGGGTATGTGATGGTGTGGTTGGGACGCAGACACACATGCCCGAGGCCCGCCAGAGACGGGCTTGGCAACCTACCATCGAACAGATTGGACCTTCTCCCACTGTTCCAACACAAGTTCACACACACACACAGTTCCAGTATTTCCAAGCTTCCTCCAACACGTTTGATCTCACTCATGAATCTAGAAAACGGTTTGGATGCGTTTTTGTGGATTTCACCTGTTCTTCCCCGTAGGGTTCTTGTTTGGTACTCTTTTAGTACTCTTGTAATATCCTACAGGGCTGGATCCGCAAAAGCCACATCCAAACGGTTTTCTAGCATGAGGGCGTCTTTTGGGGGGATTCCTTTCGCAGATCACCTATTGGGTGACATTCCTTGGGTGATGTTTAGGGAATTCATCGGCTACCAGTCAGCTCACCTCGAGGCCCTACCCTTGCGCCTCGACCTGCGCCGGGGCCCCGAACAGGAAAGAGACAGAATTGTTAGCACTGGGCCCAATTCCCTACCCACTTCAGGTGGCCCTCAAAGGAGGGGGGGGGTAATTCTTCGTGCACGGCTTTGACTTTTGGCCACTTTTTTTGCCTATTGTGCAATGTTTGGGAACGCCCCCGACTGTTCATCATACCCCCTAGACTTGTTTTAGACTTGGAGTCTGGAGGTGTTTATGACATGGCTTTGGGTCAAAACCAATGGTATCCCATTTTGGGGTAGGTGCACCACCCATTTTAGGATCTACTTTAGTGGTTGGATTGGGATGTTCACTGGGGGCTAACGATTTGGCTTTCGACCCATGGCCACATATCCCATGAACTCGCCTCAAGGTGAATCTTCCGGGCAAATCCTCAGATCCCGGGGGAATCTCACGCCAGAAGTGGTGGAGGTTTGGGCCAGCTGCGGCAGCGCGCCACGGCGCAGTCGCAGGACGATCTGAGCCGCAGCCCTCTAAATCTGTCCAACTGAAAGTGGTGGTATTTTCATTGAAGAGGTTCTCGAACTGATCTTGTGCTCGCCGAATGGCTTCCCAACATACCAGCGCAGCTGCGAAGACACCACAAGCGCGAGAAGATGCGAACAGGCGCGAGGTGGAGGCGGCAACAGCAGGCGCGATCTCACGCCATGGGCCCGGCAAATCCCGATCTTTGTCGGGTAGAATCCGTAAACATGGTCAGCCTTGAAAAGGGATGGTCCCGATCTTTGTCTACCAGGGTCACGGGCAAGAGACATGTCTTCCAAGGCGAACGGCTGAGTTTTCCATAGCTTTTGTTGGCTTAAGCTCAAATGCTGCTCATGCTCTGTCTTGAAGTGAACCTTGTGCCAGGTTTCTTGACTTCGTCAGATTCCCGGGCTGGATGCCATTCAAAAACCGGCCTGCGCCCCACACGGATCGCTGCAGGAGGACGGGGTGCTTTGGCTGGCGCGGGGCTTTGAAAGTCGCCTGGAGTCCTTGGAGGAGGTCCGCATAGGCGGGGGGGGCTTGAGATGGGATCGAAATGATTTTCGGAGGGGAACTTTGTAAAAAAAAGAAAGTTTTCTCCGCAAGTTGAGGGAAACTCCGGGGTTTCAGGGGGGGAGTGTGGGGGTTTCTCAAAATAGTGGTCCCTAGAATCCAGGGCTCCTTAAAAGATCTCCATTTTGCAACCATTTGAAACATGTGGCTTTTTCCACACCAAAATAGATGCAAGCCGCCATTTACAAGTTGCAATGTTCGATCGGTGTTTTTCATGCATCCGGATCGTATGGTTGGCTTTCTCTCGCTTTCCCTTTGAACCACAAAGGAAAAGAAGGCGCCCAGGTTCCCAGGGTCCGGATCACGGACAGGAGCCACGGGTGGGAGGACTGGCCGGTTCTCATCCAATAGGCCCGAGTTGGGCAAAACTTGGCTCAACCAACCCCACCCCTTGAAACCAAGAGGCTTTGCGGACAAGGGGAAATGCCCCGTTTTCAGCATTTGCTTCGTATCCCTCTGGAAGGATCCTCGCGTGTGAAGGCAGGTGAACAGGTCCGAGTGCCGTTTTTTTTTTTTTTTGGGCGCAGGGCTCCCCGTTTGGCAAGCCTGTTCAGGCGTGGACGTCCCGCCCTTCGCCTGGGCATCTCTGGACCAGGAGGGGTTCATGCATGGCTATGGCATTTGATAGGGAACATCTCCAGGATTGTCCCCTCAACTCCCGCGTGATCACCCTGTTCGTCGCTGTTTTGTTTTGGCCAAAGGGAAGTGGTGGCTGGTCTAACTAACATTTCATCGCAGGTGGTAGTCGAGGGAGCCACTCCAATCGAAGCAGCCAAACCATCATGCTTTAGATTGTACGAAGGGTTGCAATAGCTGATGAAGGACTTGTGGCAAACGGGACTTATTGCAACCCCTGGTAGTTTGACACAAGCAGCAAGACAGCTCTTTAAAGGGAGGCCACAGGGCGGAGAGGTTCTCCCCTCTCAGTTGGGGTTGGATCCGCAGATGGCAAAGCTCCGACCATCAACCATCAGCATTCTTGGTGGCTCCCAGCCATCCGGTTCCTTGGCTTTTTAGCCTTTTAGTGTTTAGTGGTAGTTTCCATCTAAGCCACGAAAGATCTGAGGACAGCCCAGCATTGCGTGTGTGTGTGTGTGGCATCCGAAAGGAACCCGTTTTGCTCGAACCCATGTTTTTGTCTTTTTTTTGAGAGTACCCTGTTCAGGTTGGTGCAACAGGAAGCCAAGAGGGACAAATGCAAACATCACATGCTGTGGGCCCTTGCTGCCGAGGAGCCCGAAGCCCCCAATTCCCTCACCAAGGCGGGGCGTCAAAAACATCCTCAGAACCTGGGAAGATGATCCCCTTGCCATCAATAGGTGCAGATATCCACTTCTCTATATGGGTTTGGGCAGACCGTTTCAATACCAGGCTTTGATGATGACTCAAATGGGATTCGGTCAAACCTTCCAGTATGCTTCAGGTGAGAGAAACATAGTGGAGCTCACAAGATGTCTCCACAAAAAAACGCGGCGGCAAATGTACACGCCGTGCTTTTGGAAGGTATCGGTGCATGTGGGGGCTACTTGGTGCATTGAGGCTCTCAAAGGGATCACAAATAATAACAAGGGTAACAAGAGGTAACATGATCTCACTCATGATGCAGGCTCTCTACGGGGCCTTCACTTCCTTCCAGTTTGGGGGGCAGTGTCTCTGGTCATAAGTTAGCCAGTAGGACACTTTAGGCTTCCTCTGCAAGTCGCGCCTGGGTCGGCTTCTCATGAACTCGGAACAGCTGCGAATGCTGACAGGTCACCTTGTGATTTAACCTAGAGCCAGTGGATGTTTGCTATCCCTTTTTCCTTCTGCTTCTTCTTCTTTTCTTTTTGGAGGGTGGATTGTTCTCCTTTCAAGGGTTGCTGGCTTCCGGTTTCGCGCGGACAAGGAGGGCCAGGAGTTTGGAAGAGGCTTTTTGGCTGAGCTCTCGCCACCGTCACCTTGCCAGACACAAGGAGCAATTTGCTGGCCCTTGTTTGGATCATTTCCCTTTTGACCCGCCAGTCCCGTGAAGTGTAGTGAGTGAGTGACCAGGAGAAGCGAATGAACGGTGGAAAGGTCTTATGGCTAGGCTTGTGTGTGTGTGTACAAAGGAACCGATGGAAGAGAGGTGAGTGAGGAGATAGACCGTAAAGCAAAGAACCTTCTCTCGGCATCTCTTCTCTCTAAGTCACTTTGTTAATAATAAAATGCTTTTCGGGGTGGACCCCTCATGCGAGGCCGACCGTGCGGCCAAGGCCGCGGGAGCGCGGGGTTTCCAGGGTCCAGGCGTTCAGCAAGGGATCTTTTGGGGGCGCCAAGAGTTTGCGTGCTTGTCAGAAGCATCTTTCGAACTTGCCCCTGAAAGGAAGTTGTAGGGGTAAAGTTTTTTTCCCCCTCCGATTTTCTTTGTCCGGACTTCCTGTTTGGCACCCAACCTTTGGAGGGGCTTTGAAAGGGGCCACTCACGGACGGTCTGATTGTGGCCAAAATGCACAGTTCCAACAGATGCACACTGGCATGTTTCCAGCAGCCTGCGAGTCTAAGGTTTTTACTATAGGGTTACGGCATGTGAAGCTCATGATATTGGTTTCGATGTTTTGAGATAGATCCGCAAACACGTGTTTGTTTCTTTTGTTAAACTGTAGAATTGTGAGGTCCCGTGGCTTCTTGGATCGAAGCTCTTTGTCCAAAAATTGTCTTTAGTCGCCTTTGAGGTGTCATCTAGTGCTGTCTTTGACGGGCTCTCACAGAGAGAACCTTTTTGCAACCCTTTGGGCACGCTTATGGAGGTTCATTTTGCCGCCTTCCGACCATTCGGGAGGTTCTGCTACCCGGTTTACCATTGGTTATAGTAAGGGTTAAACATACCTGTACAGACATCTCAGTAGAACCAGAAGTCAATGTTTTGGGCTGCTCCCTCCATTTTGCACAGTTTGCGAATTGCGATTTGTGGTGCGAGTCATGTGGATTGATTTCCGGAACTCGCGGGTGGGTCATTGGTTTCGCTTATTGTGGCTTAGTGGTTGAAATCCAACCACTTAGCTGCTAAAATTTGAGAATTTTTGCTCCCCTAACCCAACGTCAACCAAGTAAAATGATACCCTCAAAGGAGAAAGAAGCACGTATTGCTCCCCGAAGCCATTTCCCAGTGCACGAGCTCTGGCTGTCTATGGGCCGTGGTCTTGTTGGCGCCGGCGCAAGGTGAGGGGCGATGCATGTTTGCATGAGAAGGCCGGACAGTTGGGGCCCCTTCGGGCCGGGTGCGGGCTGCTGATTTTTTTGAGAGACTTTTCCTTTCTCAGGAAAATGCCCCCTGCTTAAAGGATAGATACCCAAGAGCCGCTCGAAGAAACAAACAGCACTCTTTAGTTTTTCTTTGGGCCGGGGACACTGGATGAAGCGACTGTAAGTGGGGAAAGCGGCACAGGAATACTGACAGTTTTTAAGTTGTCTTTCTTGGGCAAAAACAGCCTAAGGGCCCTGAAGCTTGCCGGGCTTGACGTCAGTTTGATGAAATTCGTCCGCCGTCAGAAAGACACTGGTGTTTCAACCATGAAACAGAACATGTTGATCAGCCGTTCTTCAAGCCCCAAGAAAACAACCATTGTCATGCTATCATTTTATTGTGTAGCAAACAAAGCACTTGACTACTGACTTCGAGACCTCTTTGAAAGCAATATTTCATTTTTCCGGTTCGTGGAACCTGGACCAGTATCAAACATCTCATTTCTGGTTGGGGGTAAACTTGCTGGTGCTCAGTAGGTAGGGAATGAGTGAGTTTCCGGGTGTTGGGAATTGGGGATTCCAAGAAAGCCAAATCGGGGATGGTTTATAGGGATCATGCTCTCATTCCCCGCCGAGCAAGTCACTGAAGGGATTGTCATGGAGCCCGAGGTTGTTTGCCCCCTGGTGATGGTTGAAAGCAAGACGCCGAGGGGGTCGTTTCTTGGCTCCGGGGTTTCTGGGGGGTGGCGCACCCACAACGTGGGTTAGCCAGGAGACCGGCTCCGCGAGCGGAGGCGAGAGAAATCCTGGGGCGAGGGGTGTCAGCTCCAGCCTTGGTTGGTGGTTTGGATTGGTGGGAACTGGATTTAAATGGGAGATTCCCCTCCCTAACCAGCAAACCACCAATCCAAGCACCAATGAGAGGGGAGCTGCAGCGGGTAGCTTTGGTGGTGGATATCAGTTTGATTGTGGTGTAGTGTATGATGACGAATATGATAATGATAGTAAAGGTACTGGAGTTGGTTATTATGTTTGTTGATACAACAAATGGTAGTAGGTGGATTTCCCACTCTTCTTACTTGCTTCTTATGTTTCGAATGATAGCATTTTCGTTGCTTGCCTGCCATAATGGGAACCCAGGATGAGTTATCCTCCCACCAACAAGCAAGGCTTGCTGCGCAGACATTGTTTGGAAGACGATCTTCCTCTTGCAAAGGGAGCTTGTGCACATCCAGGGCAACCCCTGGTTGGTCAAACTGGGTCCCATTTCTGCGAGCATCCGCAAGCAGCGTCCATATTTTCTGTCGGGGGAAAAACAAATACTGTCACTGGAGAACCTCCAATGGGTTGCCTTTTAAAAACCCCAGGGTCCAGCAGTGAGCAGGAAATCTGGACGAGCAGAGGGGTTGCTACGCGAAGCATATGACCCAAACAAGACAAGCTTCACTGGATTTCCCCACCAAATCGTGGGAAGCAGGCGCCTCTCCCATCTACCCTTCATATTTTCGGTCGAGCTCCGTCCGACCTCCAGCCTGAAGGCGAGCTTCTTCCCCCAAAGGGGGCAGTTTTTTCCCCTGAAAGCCCCCACAGAAGCCAAAGCGTTGCTTAGCCCGCGGCCCCAACTCGCGGGCCTTCCTTTTCTTATTGGCCGCGCTCAGCTGGGCAGGTGCGATCCAGGACTTGCAGCTGGCGCAGGCGATTTTGGAATTTGTTCCGTTGCGTTCCAGTTACCACTTTCTTTGGGTCAGGATAGGGGAGATTCAACATGGTGGTCCCTTTCGGCTTTTTACTTCGACCTCCGAAAGGGTACCCTCCTCCCCCCCAAAAAAAAACCAAGAAGCAACAACAACAGAACAACCGAGGCGAGGGGAGGACATTTCTTTTGTCTACGTTGGCTTTCTCTTTGACACAAAAGGACAAGACGAGACATACTGCGCTGATGATTGCACTTTCCAACCGGCTACTTGCAACTGTTCTGGACAAATCGGATCGAGCTAGCTTGCTCATGAAGGTCCCTTCCTTGATGGGTCCCCACCACTGAAATTCCATTCCCAGTGGTCTATTGGCAGCCCCCGCGCAAGCACAGGAAAGCATGGAGAAACCAAACAAGTAGTCTATGATCTGTCTGGGCGGGACATGGGAAGGAGCTCTACATTGCAACCGCAAAGCCGCCAGGGGACAAGCCCACTGTTTCCCCTGTCCTCTTGGGGGAGCCGCAATTTGACTGCTATTTCAGCCTCCCTGGCGGTTTGGATTGGTTTGGAGGACTCGTTTCCTTTGTTTATCCCCCCAATTCCAAAAGTTCGAATCCCCAAAGCTAGTCCAAACCACCAAAGGGTTGGCTCATCCACTTTGCGGAAACTCCACCCCCACATCCGCGTCGCGTGAAACCATCCCCCCGGAAAGGAACCTCCCTAAACTCTTGGGGGAAAAATCCGCCATCCGCCAAAACCCCCAAACCGCCGAGGGAATGGGGACATCCACGAGGAAAGCCGCGTACAAAATCCCTCGGTGCGCGCGGTGCGCGCAGGCCTCGCCCCTGCGGCACCGCTCGGTGCCCAGCTCCCCGCAGCTGCCCTGTCGGGGGCCCCACATCCACACGGCGAGGGAGGGGGGGTTCACACCCCCGGCCGGTGCGCGCCAAACCAAAAGGGGAGGGGTGAGGTGGGGTGGGATGGGGTGGGGTGCACATTCGCCTTTCATGAACAAGACTTCACTTTGCTTTAAATGCTTCCACCGCTCCTTTCTAATTGTTTGGGCCCTCGGAGTACCTCTTTGGGGTCGGAAGCCAAGAGAATGCACCATGCAACAAGAGGAACAGTCCCTGATTGCCTGCAACAAGAGGTCCACTCAGAGATGGGTTTATGCAAAAGAGGGACCCACAAGATTGACTTAGGTCACTGGATCTGCCTTGAAAACAAACCCCAACGGCATAGCGCGAAAACCGCCGAAAACGGGACTCGAAGTTGAACTTCGGGACTCGAAGCTCGAAGCTCCTCGGCGACCTGATCCGGGAAGCCTGGGCGTGTGTGTGTGTGTGTGGGTTTGTTTTGGGGTTGGTTTGGGGTGGCGGTCAAAATGGCAAGATAGGTGCTTTCGGGTTAGCGATTTGTCGCCTAGCAGAAGAGACTATCAGCGAGTTGTGAAGATGATCAGCTTAGCGTGCCTTGAAGTTTGCGCCTGAATCTATGAAAGAAAGAGGGCGAAGTGCTGCTAGCCCTTTCGGACCTTGACAGTCGTCACCATGTCACCGGGATTTCAATCAGGAATACATATTTTGTCAACACCACATGCAAATACAAACATGGAACACAAATAAGCAACTTTAACAAGAAATAAACAGCACACACATGCATATATATATGAATATGTAAGGTTTATTCATATACATTATATATATATACACTCATATATATATATATATACATATATATATATATAGAGAGAGAGAGAGAGAGAGAGAGAGAGAGAGAGAGAGTCGATATACCGACTGCGAGGCCGCGCTGTGGCGCCGCCGTCGCCCTCCTCGCGCCCTGGGTGGGCGGTCTTTGCAGGTCCGGGTGCATGTGGCTCCCGCAAACCATGGGGGTACGGTGGATGGACCAAATCCACTTCGCACGAAATTAATCCAGGGTTGAAACCTTTAAGCAGGGGAACCATCCTTCCCAGGGTTTCTCAAGTGTTGCAGGATTCAGTATGTGCCAACATTTGGTCGGTCCGGACATAAATGTGGGTAAACATGCATGGAGTGTTTGGGGTTGTCCGTCGCCAGACGATCTCAGCGAGCGCCGGCCAATGAGCGCGAAAGTGGCTCGCGCGGGGATCCCCGGATTGCCGGAATTCAACGGAACCCAGGTCGAAGATGGTTCTCCCAGGAAAACACTCGCCCACTCCACTCGCCCACTCGCCCACTCGCGCTGCATGCTTCTCGTCGCGTCCCGAGGTGTGTCAGCCTGCAATTCCTCTGCCAGGGTCCGGAAGGCGGCAGCTCCGTAGCTACTGAGCCAACCAGCCATCCAGCCATCCAGCATATCCATATATCCATATCCATATATCCAGCTCCATATATCCAGATCCATATCCATATCCATATCCATATCTATTTTGACCTGTTGGTAGAGACCCTTTGCGGATGAATGCCAGGTTCCCCCCGAAACCAGGCGGGGAGGAAATCTAGTTCCCCCCCTACGAGCAAGTCTCTGGGTTTGGATCTGGTGTTGCGCTTCTGGATCCATTTTCACTTTCTAGGGTTTCTACTTTGTGCAAGGGTCCCTTGCGTTTTCCGACCAAAAGGTGCCAGAGGTAAACCGTGGTTGGGCTTGCAGTGCCCAGTTGATGTGCCTTAACATCCCAGCAAACGAGCAAGCACATGTCCGCAATGTCCAACAATTTGTCACGACGATTTCCAGAGGTTTCAATGTGCTTGAAGGTTTCTTGCCTGGGGCTTTCGAGTTGGTGACAGCAGGTTCTCCACACATCTACCACCTTTTGGCCAGAAGGGGCAGGCCCGAACTTCAGGTCTTGCCTTAGGCAACTCGCCCAGCTCTTTGGTTTGCCCTTGCCTGCGCCATTGCTTCCGCCTACTTTGTCCGACATCCAGTTTTGAGGCCAATGCAGATGAATCAACCGTTCCGCAGAAAATAAGAGGGTGGGCTTTTTGGAGGGGAGAATGATCCAGATAGATTACATTGCCGTATGGGCTCCAAACTCGAAGGTTGCCGCGTTTCCGCACGTGAGGCGGTCCTCCAACCCGTTCGAGGAGCGCCGGACGAACCCCTTCGACAAGTGAAGGGCCAAAACGAGGGGGGTGGGAGCGCCGGGGCCGGGGGGAGGTGCGAAGTAGCCAAGAAGGGTTGCAAGATCGATCTTCAAGCCTGCGGGGCATCCCCCCATTTTGAACGGCTTGAAGTCCTAGAATGCTCTGCAGGGTTGGAAGTGTTTTAACCAGAGGCCTCTCCCACCTCAAACATGCCACAAGGGCCCAAGCTTGATGCGAGGTATGGTAGGGGGTCTGCTGACCCTTAAGTAGTTTGGTCATTTTCCCGCCCTTCGTGTGGCGCGCTCCATGTGGGGTGTGTGTAAAATGAGCGCACCATGATGTAGGTCCTTTATCATACTTGCCTCGTGATTGCTAGAGAATGACCAATGACAAAAACAGAGACCTTCAGGTCGATAGACGTTCGGGGTAAAACAGCGTGGGGTCAAGTCCAGAGTAGAAATATGGAACAAATTGTCGCGCGAGTTGTTGTTTGGAGTTCGGGGGAGGGGGGCGAAGGGGTTGGAACAAGTGTAAAATGCAGAGCGGTGATTTGCTAGACTGCACCCGACTTCGTTCTAGCGGTCTTCGAGGTGTTGCAGATAATGATGGTAATGCCGGGAATGCCGGGAATGCCGGGACTGCTGAGAATGACAATGCTGGGAATGCTGACAATGCGGACAATGCTGGGAATGTTGGAAATGCTGGGAATGCTGGCAATGCTGGGAATGCTAGCAATGTTGGAATGCTCAGATTGCTGGGAATGCTGGGATTGCTGGGAATGCCGGGGTTGCTGGTGATGTGGTGTTGTGTTTGCTTTGGGATGCGTTCTGGTGATGCGTGATGCGGTTTCATGTTGGCTTGCGATGCGTTCTGATGCTGGAGGTGCTGGTGATGCAGGAGATGCTGGGGCGATCGCTTGGACTTCGCTGGGACAAAAATGCGAGACAGGTGCATTTCTACACGTTTGTCGGAACATGCACATTTTCGTGTTCATTTCCGTGGCTTTGGTGCACTGCACGCATGCATTTTTGTGTGTGCACTTTTTTTGTATGCAAGTTTTGTGTGTATTTTTTGTATGCATTTCTGGCACTGGCAGCTTCAACCTGCGTTGTGTCTGCATTTTGTATGCTTTGGGCGAGAAAGGTGCATTTCAGGCAAGTTGCATGCATGTTGTATGCATTTTGTCTGCATGTTGTATATATGTTGTATCCATGTGGAAGGCATTCAGAAGACATCAGGCCAAGTCCAAACATGCATAACGCTGCACACCATTGCGAGACAGGTGGATTTTATGCATGGTGCATGCATGTATGTTTTTGTATGCATGTGGTATGCATTGTGTACAAAAGTCTTACGTATGCATGCAGCACGCATTTTTTGTGCATGTTGTATGCGTTCTTGGCTTGAAAAGATAGCCTTGGGAACTGCATAGTTTTGCATAACAAAGCGCACACATGCGAGACAGGTGCATTATTTGCATGGTGCTTGATTTTTGCATGCCTTTTTCATGCATTTTGTTAGCATAGTGTATGCATTCATGCCACAAAGGCATACAGCACGCATATCATGCTCATGTCTTGCATTTATGCGCAATGTTGACAAACTGGCTGTTTTGTGTAAAGGTGCCTTGGCCATCCAAAAAATGCGTGTAACATGCATAACACATGCACACATAATGCATACATAATGCATACAGAATGCGCACAGAATGCATGCACCATGCTTGTCTCGCATTTTAGTGCAGTGTTATGCACAAATGTGAATTGTTAGCTTGTGTTTCTGCGTTTTTCAAGGCTTTCCCTTGCTTTCGCTTGCTTGCCCTTGCTGCTTTGCCTTGCTGCCCTGCTTTCCCTTGCGTTCCCATGCTTCCCTTTTCTTTGTTGCCTTGGGATGCGCCGGGGATGCTGAAGATGCTGGCCGGGGATCAGCATGCTTGTGGTGATGCTTTTTTGAAAGGAACTGCTCGCTGGTTCATTGTGTTGACATGTTAACTGATTTGTGAAGCAAACTCTATTGGAAAGGACATTCTGTGTAGAATTTGATTTGCAATATAATTATTCTAGTTCAAATTCAAACTTGAAGCAGACATTATGTTTGGCTTCCTTCCTTATTAGATTCTTTTGCAAGTCAGCAAACTGGAAGAAGTTGATAAAGATATTTCAGAGGTCCCCCAAATTGTGGTTTTACCTACCCCCAAGCACTACCACTGGGGTACTGCGGAACCTTGCGTCTGCTCTCCAATGGATGCTGCCTGGCAATCATCCACCATGCGTTGAAGGATCAGGATTGACAGATCTGTAAACCAGCTTGCTTGAAGGCATTGTTTTTTAAACCACTCCTGCAGTGAGATGAATTCGGCACAGCAAGCGTTGCTTTTAGAAAGTCGGCATTTCTTGCAGCAAGGGAGAATATTTGCGTGGGCGTAGGGTTGCTCCGAGCTGTTCCCAAAAGGTGATTGCCTTCGGAAGGCTCCATGTTGTTTTTCGGGCCAAAGTCGAAGCCAAGCACTGAATGTTTTCGGGCGCCCGGCCATTTTTGAGGATGTGTTTCCATCAGGGCCGACATATGTACTCTTGGGCTTCTTTCAAGCATTTGCTTCAGGCTGTCCCACAATCCAGGTGCCCCCTTTTTGTTGGGGTCCATGCTTGGGGAGGTTTCAGCCATTGTAAGTGCTGTCGGCCCCTGATCAACCTGATGGATTCATAGGTGTCCTTTTCGGGAAAATGGATGCCCTGGTAGCTGATTGAATCGCCACGTAAACCAGGGCCCTCTATTTTTCAACCAAATCAACCAAAAAGGACACCTATGGTAAGTGCCTTCCTCTCAAATGGGACGCCCTTCGTGAATAAAAACCAGGCGTTTATTGCGAAGCGGCCCGCGTTTATCGCCGACCGTCAGCCGCTCAAGCGGCGAGACGCGCACGGAGCGGACTGGGCAGCTTCAATATGCAACTTGAAGCCATCTCGTTGACACCTCATGGCCACAAGAATCATCCTCCACCAATGACTCACCAGACTCACCACAATCACCATAATCATCATAATCATCATAGTAACCATAATCATCATGGTAACCAGAATCACCATAATCGCCCCTAATTGTCAGAACCACCCTGAAGCACCATCTTCATCACTCGCAACACGAAAGAGGTGTTGGTAGCCTCAAGAGGGTACTGCAGCCGTGGAGCCATGACGAGGGTGCTGGTGCGCGGCGCTGAGTCAGGGTGTGTCTTCTTTGAAGGAATCCGTTTTTGGGTTGCTATCAAATGGCTGTGGGTCAAAACCAATGGTACCATTTTGGGGTAGGTGCACCACCTGTTTTTTTCGATTTTAGTGGGGATTGGGAATGGCCAAATTGGGAATCCAAAGGAAACTAGTGGTTTTGGGGTGATTTAGAGACAAGCCCAATAAGGCATGTCCTGCTCTGCATGTCGAGACACCCTGATCTCCCCCTCAACTTTAGCCAATAATTCTGAGCCAATTCTCAGGCAAACTTTGGAAATCCGAAACCAACCCCAAAGCACCCCAAGCCTTTCCACAGAGGGAGAACATGCTGACGCTGGTCGGACCATTTTTCAGCTCCTTCCAAGATGGTCGGTTTTCTTTTTGGGTTTTCTATGTCAGCCCGAAACTCTTGCCCAAGCTGGTACGGGTTCTACTCCGTGGCTTGTGGGGTAGCGAGGTAGACGCAAACGCCAATGGGTGTCACAAGGGCTCTTTGCCAGCCGCCGAGCCTGCCACACGAGCGCGTTTTCCTCAACGGTTGCTAAACGTTGAGTTTATTGTCATGCTTTCCTTGCACATCTTCAAAAACAGAGAGCCTGAGTTTTGGAGTTGGGTATTGTGGGCGCACCATGCTGGCCGGAAATCCTTGGGCGGTTTTGCTCCATCAACATGTGATCAACTGGCTGGACGTGCAATCACATGGGAGCAAATCAAGAGAACGGCAATGAGTTGCTCGCGCAGTCAACGACCAGTCGATGAGCAGCGTATCCCCGATGTGGCTTCAGCTGATTTTGCTGTAGCAAGTCTGGAAAGCGCTCTTTTGTTTTGGTTCGAAGTTTTTCTGGTTCTCGTGACTGAGTTTTGATAAAGCTTTAGCAGCCTGAGCTTCAATCTTTGCAAATCTACCGGATTGGCTACGTCTGCAGGTTGGATGTGTTGCCTTCCTCGCCAAAAAAGTGAAGGATCCCCCATACATTTGACCCCTTGCCACCTGTTAGTCAACTGTTCGTCAACCCAAGCGTTTGTTCATCACAGGTCAAGATCCTGCCATCAGTGCAGGGGGAGATTCACTGCAGGGGGCCAGGTTAAAGCTCGGTGAAGAACCGGCTACGGCCAAGTTTGCGGACCAAACAAGGTCAAGTCTCAGTTTGAGCGGTCAATGCTTGCCGTTGGGACACATGTTTCCCATTTTTGCCTATGGCGGTTTAGTGGTTGAAATAACCAAATCCACTCAAAAACTGCCAACATTTTCGATATTTTTTGCTCCCCGAACCCAACGTCAACGTCAAGAATATGTGCTGTCCATACCGGGTTCCAACCTGTCGGCTTCCCAGGGACCCGATTTCAGCAAGTCGCTCAGGTTTCAGCTGCTGCTGTTCCTGGCTTGGGCAGAGGAGCGGCCAACAAAGGGCAAGTTGAGGAGCTGCAACATATCCTGAGGCAAAACGCCTATCTTACTTGAGGAATCCTTCTTTCTTGATTTTAGTAATTTGTTTCAGAACTCTTCGCTACTCCTATGCAAAAGGAGACCACAATGCGTTGACGAAGGATGATCATCGTAATTGCAATGACAGTGGCGTCAACACGCTGTATCTGGATTGATGCTGTTGTCTCTTTTTTTCCATTCTTTTTCTCCTGACTCTCTAGTTAGCTATCGGCAAACATGAGGCCTTTACCAGGTAAACGGGGGAGGTTTGCAATTTTTAAAAGAAGCCTCATGATAGACCGAACACGATGGAGACAAAGCAGCCTTGTTTGCGCTTCGTCTCGTCCTTCTTGCCAAACACACGGCTTTCATCGGTTGAACGGGATG